TGGCGTGGCAGGCGTGGCACTTGGCGATATCTATCTTCACTTTGCGTGGCAGGCGTGGCACTTATGGCACTGGGCTGGCTTTGGTGGCGCGTTTGGTTCTCAGATGATGCAGCTTTTGGCGTGGCAGGCGTGGCACTTGGCGATATCTATTTTCACTTTGCGTGGCAGGCGTGGCACGTATGGCACTGGGCTGGCTCCGGTGGGGCGCTTGGGGCGGAGTGGCCGCGGTGGCCGCTGCGGCTGTTGGCGTGGCAGGCGTGGCACTTGGAGACATCCACCTTCGTTTCACGTGGCAGGCGTGCTACTTGGTGACAACGACTTCCACTTCGTGTGGCAGGAGTGGTACTTGCTGACATCGCACCAAATTGTCACACACCATCTTTCACACACAACTTTGTCACACACACCCCATCTTTTACCACACCATCTTTCACACACCACTTTGTCACACACCATCTTTTACACACAACTTTGTCACACCCTCTCTTTCACACCCAACTTTCACACACACTATCTTTCACACACAACTTTGTCACACACCATCTTTGACACACCACTTTGTCACACACCATCTTTCACACACCATACTGTCACACATACCATCTTTCACACCACTTTGTCGCACCATCTTTCACGCACGCAGATTTGTCACACCTTCTGTTGCGACACCACTTTGTCACACACTGTCTTTCACACACCACTTTGTCACACACCATCTTTGTCACACACCATCTTTCACACACAACTTTGTCACACACCATCTTTGTCACACACCATCTTTCACACACAACTTTGTCACACACCATCTTTTACCACACCATCTTTCACACGCAACTTTGTCACACACCATCTTTTACACACAACTTTGTCACACACAATCTTTCACCACACCATCTTTCACACACACACAACTTTGTCACCCACCATCTTTCCTCCACCTCCTCCTTTGTCTTTCCTTCCTTCCCCGTCCCCGCTACAACATTTGTTGCTCATCATTGGAAGAAGTTGACTTGTGGGGTTATCCGGTCCTTCAATTTCCGACCCCCTGATGTTGCAGGTGGTTTCAACCCTCGGCAATATTGGCGAGTTGGGATCATCAACTCAAATGTGCTTGAGGACGGTGCTGGGTTTCGAAGTCGAGAACAACGTGGAGGTCAGGCGTCAAGCGGACGTTCCTTGAGGTGAACCAGCGTCAGCATGAACCCAAGGACAGTCAGTGCCACGCATCCATTTTTCGACACAAAATCTGGAACATCTTTCATAGCTTTACCTTGGCAGGAATTGTTGCGGGCAAGGTCAACCGTATATGCAATATACCAGATTATATACCAATCCAATCCTACTATCCATCCACAAATCGCCGGCTACCCCATTGCTCACTGGGCTCAGCATCATCACAAGTGGCACTGTTCACCCAGCCATGCCGATGAGGCAGCGGTGCTTGGCATCGGGCTACATGCCAGTTAATAAATTGATATGACCCCTAGTTGTAAGTTGGGTGATTGACCCATCCAACTAAATCTACGTATATTATATTATATATATACTATATATTTGATAAATATATATATTCTACATTCTAACCATGACTTTTTTTTTGGTGACCCATTCGTTCACCGAGGACTCTGCCCTTGTCGCTGTGGATGACTGCGTTATTCTTCACCAGCGAAGCACCGGTGAACGACCACGGGGCTCAGGCGGCGATGACCGGGATGATCGGGATGGATATACAATGTAATGTCAACCCCGGATTAATAAACCATGGTTTATCAATTAGGGGAGTACTCCTCCAATAGTCATACTTACATGGTACCCTCCCAATTAAACAGCCCAGGGTTGACATTATACTGAACCATTATTTTGAGGAGGGTACCCTCTGGTTAACCACCATTCATGGGATTTTTCATGGGATTTCATAGGGATAAAGAAATCCACACAGAATGGAATATACCCTCTGGCAAACGTTTACATAGCTAGTGAAAATGGCCATAGACATACTGCGGGTGCCAGAATTATAGAACGGAGCCAGGAGTACAAAAGTACGGTAAAGTACCGTACCTTTGTACTCCTCCGGGTTCCGATTCCGCGCGGAGTCGGGAAATTTAATTATAGAACGGGGATCCGTTCTATAATTAAATTTCCCCGTTCTATAATTAAATTTCCAGTTCTATAATTTCTGGCACTGACTTGATATTTACTGCATATTTGTACATATACAATCTATAAAATGAAGATTTAATGAGTAAATTCAGATACGTTTTTTTTCATACCTTCCGAGGAAAACAGAATTATAGAACAACAGGGTACGGTAAATAACCGTACCTTCGTACTCCTCAACTTCCGTTCTATAATTCTGTTTTCCCCCATTTTTCCCACATTGACCAGGTGATTTTCTTAGATTTCATGAGATTTCATGGTGGTTTTCTGGGATTTCATGTTGATTTTATGGGATTTCATGGTGATTTTCTGAGATTTCATGTTGTTTTTGTGGGATTTCATAGTGATTTCATGAGATTTCATGGTGATTTTCTGAGATTTCATGGTGATTTTATGGGATTTCATGGTGATTTTATGGGATTTCACGGTGATTTTCTTAGATTTCATGGTGATTTTGTACGATTTCTGGGACCCCGGAAGAGGTTCTATAATTCTATAATTAATTTTTCCGTTCTATAATTAATTTTTCCAGAACGGGGCCCGGGAAACATTAATTATAGAACGAAAATGGGAAATAAATGTGAGAGAAATGGGGGAAAACAGAATTATTGAACAGCAGCGCTCCGACAAGAATTATAGAACGACGAAAAAAGTTAGGAGTAAATTCAGATACGTTTTTTTTTCACACCTTCCGAGGAAAACAAAATTATAGAACAACAGGGTACGGTAAATAACCGTACCTTCGTACTCCTCAACTTTCGTTCTATAATTCCGGCACCCGCTGCAGTAAATTTACCAATTAAACATGGTGAGTTTCCATAGTTAATCGTTAGTTTACCAGAGGGTATAATATAATATACTGATATAAACTGGACATATATAAATATAATGATATACAATGCCCTCAGTTTTATATGGCTGTAAATAAATATATATATATATAATGATGTAATGGGATATAATTCTAGATGTATCTACATTATAATGGGAAACATGGACATATTATGATCTATGATGGGAAATACAATGGAAATAGGGGAACATAATATCCTGATAAACTGATAATATTATTTGAATATTCATGATCATGAGGTATTTCATCTCAGAAATGCTCATAGAACCAGCAATATATATATATATATATCAGAAGGTCTTGATGGGATTGGAATGGGTATTTATTGATACTGGTTTGGGATTTGATATGGGTATCGTGAGAAGGGAGTTACCCAGCAGTAATGGTACTGTATGTATATATATATATATATGTATATATACACATGTATATGCACATACGAATGGAGCTTGTAGATGGTCAAAATTATCTATTATATAGCTATATCTGTGGACAAAATGTCCCACATGTTTGGGCTAATACGAACAAGGCGGGCCAACAGGCGTGGGCAAAACGAGGTGTTTGGCCGTAAGTATACTATAACTTGGCTACTAGACGTGGCTCTATCTATTGCCAGACAAGGACTTCCAAACCCAGATTGTTGTGCCTTGCAATCCAAAATGCGGACTTGTAAACCAAAACAGTGTAATCACATGCATAGGCATATATATATATATATATGATATATATATATATATGATATAACAGGACTGTCCTCTTACTTCTAAAACTGCACTTTTCTTCCACATCCCAAGGCCGAAGCATGCCACATAATTTCCACAGAAAATTATCCCGCTTCCAATATCAACTGTGGCTTTGTCCAAAAATTGGTTTACCATAAACTCAATGGTTAACAACCATATTTTCCCATTTCAAATGATTTTACGATGCCAACTTTGAACATGCCCATTTCTGGAATGAATGCAGCCAATAAACGTCCCTGGTTAGCCATCATTTCATTGTCATGCCAGTAACGCATTGTAATTATAGATATATCCTCAGCATATATCCACAATCCTACTATGGATGGTTGCGAAATCCTGCACCACCAAAAGGATTGTTGAACCCCTATCTGGTTGGTGGTTTGGAAGATTTGGATGATTTTTCCATTCAGTTGGGAATGTCATGTTCCCAACTGACGAACCCCATCATTTTTCAGAGGGGTAGGGCTCAACCACCAACCAGTTATATAGTTATTAACCATCATTAACCATATAATAACCATTAATATTAACCATTAACAGTATATTAGCCATCATTAATATTAACCATATAATAACCAACCAGCTATAAATGCTGGGAGAAACCACCGTTTTCAACTCGTGCAGGATTTCGCAACCATCCATTGTGGCTGTTCGTTTCCTTTTTTTTTCTTTCACTAGGATTTCATCCAGCCACTATATATCTATGGAGGTTTCCTGAAATGGGGGTACCCCCAGTCATCATCCAGCTATTAGATTGGGATTTTCCATGAAATACACCAACCAGCTATTGGGGAACCCCTATGGATTGGAAATCCCCATATATCAATGGGAGATCTTCAGAATCCTAAAATTGACGTACGTTAGTACCACATTTTTGCGCATATGTTCATATATGTTCTAGGGATATCACCTTACATAGGCCTAAAAAATAGGCCTTATATATGGTAGGTACCTCCAATTTAGGTTCTTGAAATGACCATTTATATATCCATCCAAATAACTATGATGGATATAGTTAATTTATGGATATAATTTATAGTTATATACAACTGAATATATATCACTATGGATATACCTAGTTATGATTTATCCATATAACCATCCCCTATAGTATATATAGTTGGCCTAGAGAAATACGCATCGTAATTCAAACAGAAACATATCAACCACAGAATTTGTTTTTGCCTGAGGGCAAAGCGATCCACACGATCATCATGCTCCTGGGTGTGGGTCTTTTCACCGTGCCCATGGGACTTTTTGCTTCGGCCTTCCGAGAACGTCTCTCGGATCCCGGAGTTTTTTCGCAGGGTGGCCTGGGATGGCCTGGGATTTAAATGGGCCTCTTAAGTGGGATGAAAGAAACTCCTATAAATTATGAATAGTTGATGATATATGATGACATAAGTTATTTATAATTTATTTATAATCATAGTATTTAGTGATGTCCCATGACTTTCCCATCATGTTCCCATTCGTTCAGGGCTATAACTGTACCAACGGGACATGTGTTAGAGTTTTTGTTGGGCTACAACTGTGGGTGTTGGACCTGACGACCTGACTTCTTGGAAATAAAGTGGATCCAAGTGGGAACACCTTTTTGAGATCTAACTGGGAATCAAAATGACTGGGAACTTACCCTCCGGTAAACGTTTACATAACTATGGAAAATCACCATGCTATTAATGGGTAAATTAAATATGTCTATGGCCATTTTCAATAGCTATGGAAACGTTTACCAGAGGGTAAGAATCAAACATGATCCACTGGTTGGCTGATTGGTGGTTTGGAACATGGGTTTTGTTTCCATGTATTGTGAATAATCATCTCAACTGACTAATATTTCTTCAGAAGAATTGAAACCACCAACCAGTTAAGAATCAAACATGATCCATTGTTGGAAACGATCTACGTTCTTCTTTGGGAATCCAGTAATGTCAAGTTGTGATTAATAACCCCCCCCTGTTCGCCCGGAAGTGTTCATTCGATGACAAGCTTGCTATCTTCATCTATTTCTATCGACGATGAGATATTGGGCATGAGGAGTTTTGGATTGTGCTCGCTAGGAGCCAAGACCCTGAACCATTGAATGACTGGTTGGTGGTTTGGAACATTTGGATTTTATATTTTTCCATTCAGTTGGGAATTTCATGGAATGTCATCATCCCAACTGACTTTCACTCACTCCATGATTTTTCAGAGGGGTAGGCGAAAAACCACCAAACCAGATTATTATTAGGGAGGGGACTGTTGTGGCCGCCTCTTTTTTAACTATTGTTGTCAAGTTTTTAATTAACCATGAACTATTTCACTGGGAAACCTACACAAAAAAGTCATGAATAACTCTTGAACCATTGTTTAGCCAAATGTCTTGCAATTTTATTTGGTAAGTTCCAGGCAGTCTTGACAAATGTCATGGGACACATATGAAATTATTTCGTGAGAAACATTATTTGCAGCCTTTACCAAGTTTTGAAGAGGATCTGAAACTTTAGCAGCAATGGCCCTCAGGTTCATTTCATCAAAGTATCTTTGGTTCAGTTAGTGGTCTGCCTAAAAGGTCTTGCATGTGTATATATATTTTTTCTTTCTAAGTTGTCATCCTTGAAAATCACAAATTTTCTTGCAGCAGCAGTTCAAAATCTCAAGCTTTCAGCTTTCCAGGCATGTCAAAATCATTCAAAATCTGTAGATTTTTGGTATGCAGTTTATATGCAGTTTATATGTAGTTTATATGCAGTTTATATGCAGTTTTCAAAACTGCATATAAACTACATGTAGTTTGGTCACAACTGCATATAAACTACATGTAGTTTTGAAACTGCATATAAACTGCATATAAACTGCATATAAACTGCATACAAACTGCATATAAACTTCATATAAAATTTATATGAAAATTCAAGGGCTGACATGTGGTTTTTAAGGATTTTGATTATACATTTGGACTTGATTCCACTGATTCCCAAACCTTTGGACACCAATATGGACATATAAAATTCATAGTGTGATGCAATCAAAACTGGCAATGCCAGCAACTTGTTTCCTTTCCCAAAACTTTGAAACAATTGCAAGTGCAAAGGCCCAGTGCACTTGTTTACAAAAATGATTTGAAGAATCATAAAAGGTTATTTCTGTTCACAAGCAAGTAAGCATCTCTAAAGATCCAAGATCATCATATGTAAATCTCAAGTAAAGAGGTTTCAAGGAACCATAAAAGATTCTTTTGGCTCACAAGGAAACATCTGTACAGGCCCAGGATCATCCCCTACACATGTAAATCTCAAGTAAAGATGCTCTAATATACCACAAAAATCCAAGAACATCACATGTAAATCTCAAGTAAGGATGTTTTAGGCAGGACAATGCAAGTTTCTGTTTGTGTTCACAAGCAAACATCTGTACAGGTCCAAGAACATCACATGTAAATCTCAAGTCAAGAGGTTTTAAACAAAACAATAAACTTCTTTGTATTCACAAGTAAGCATTTGTACAGATCCAAGAGCATCACATGTAAATCTCAAGTAAGAATCTTTGGAGGAAACTGTCAGTGAACATATAGAGATTGAAGTGCTAGCTACTATTGGAAAAATGTATATGGAAAATCCAAAACTGTTTCAAGTATCCCCAGGTTTTTGCCTGCAACAAAGAAGCATGTTTCAAATGTTATGGATGCTTGGTCCCAAAATGGTAAAAAGACAATGATATGATCTTTACATGAACCTGCGCCTGGCATAAAGTACTCAGGCTTTGTTTGGAGGGTCACTTGATGGATCCTTAATTGAAGAAACTTCTATGTGCCAATCTTTACTTGTGGATTCAAACAATATGGTATATATTTGATGGATCCTTACTTGAGGAAACTTCCATGTGCTAGTGCTTACTTGTGGATTCAAACGACATGGCCTATATTTGATGGATGAGCAGGGAATATAGAAAATTAGCTAACCACATGTTGGAAATTAGTAGTTAAATAGATCTGATGATCTTAGATTAACTTGCTTCAGTAGTCCAGACACAGAGAGAGCGGCGCTAAAAGCCAATAAAGGCAGATGACCAGAGAATATAGAAAATTAGCCAACCACATGCCATAGCTTCAGGAGTCCAGACACAGAGAGAGCGACGCTAAAAGCCAATAAAGGCAGATGACTAGGGAATATAGAAAATTAGCCAACCATATGTTAGAAAGTAGTAGTTAAATAGATCTGATGATCTTAGATTAACTTGCTCCAGGAGTCCAGACACAGAGAGAGCGGCGCTAAAAGCCAATAAAGGCAGATGACCAGAGCATATAGAAAATTAGCCAACCACATGTTAGTACTTAAATGTTAAATAGATCTGATGATCGTAGATTAGCTTGGATTAATCTGGATTAATCTGGGACCAAAAAAACCAAAAAAAAAAACCAAAAAAAAAAACAATGTTTTGGAGACTAGTCTAAAGATAGCCCTGATCCAAGTAGTCCTGAAAACATTGTTTTTTTTTGTTTTTTTTGTTTTTTTTTGTTTTTTTTGTTTGTTTTGGTTTTTTTGGTCCCAGATTAATCCAGATTAATCCTTGGGGCTTGAACAGATATCAACACACAAGTTATCGGAAGGGAATGTTGTGACACCCAAATCTCACAAGAACACAAGTTATCGGAAGGGAATGTTGTGACACCCAAATCTCACAAGAAGTGTTCTTTATACATATTAAGTGTGAGATTTGGGCGGCCACAACAGTCCTTTCTGTATTATTAACCATCATTAACCACCATTAACCATCATTAACCATCATTAACCATCATTAACCATCATTAACCATCATTAACCATTAATAATAACCATTAATAATAACCATTATTAACCATTATTAACCATTAATAACCATTAATAACCATTAATAACAATTAATAACCATTAATAACCATTAATAATAACCATTATTAATAACCATTATTAATAACCATTATTAATAACCATTATTAATAACCATTATTAATCACCATTATTAATAACCATTATTAATAGCCATTATTAATAACCATTAATAATAACCATTATTAATAACCATTAATAATAACCATTAATATTTTAACCATTAATAATAACCATTAATGATAACCATTATTAATAACCATTGATATTATAACCATTACTAATAACCATTAATAATAACCATTACTAATAACCATTATTAATAACCATCAATAATAACCATTAATAATAACCATTAATAACCATTAATAATAACCATTAATAACCATTAATAATAACCATTAATAACCATTAATAACCATTAATAACCATTAATAACCATTAATAATAACCATTCATAATTACCATTATTAATCATTGTTAATAACCATTATTAATCATTAATAATAACCATTATTAATAACCATTATTAATAACCATTATTAATAACCATTATTAATAACCATTATTAATAGCCATTATTAATAACCATTAATAATAACAATTAATAATAACCATTAATAATAACCATAAATAATAAACCATTAATAATAACCATTACTAACCATTATTAATAACCATTAGTAATAACCATTAATAATAACCATTCATAATAACCATTAATAATAACCATAAATAATAACCATCAATAATAACCATTTTTCTCATTAATAATAACCATTAGAAATAACCATTTATAATAACCATTAATAATAACAATTAATAATAACCATTAATAATAACCATAAATAATAAACCATTAATAATAACCATTAATAATAACCATTAATAATAACCATTAATAATAACCATTAGTAACCATTAATAACCATTAATAACCATTAATAATCACCATTAATAATCACCATTAATAATAACCATTATTAAGCATTAATAATAACCATTATTCATCATTAATAATAACCATTAATAATAACCATTAATAATAACCATTAATAATAACCATTACTAATAACAATTAATAATAACCATTATTAATAACCATTATTAATAACCATTATTAATAACCATTATTAATAACCATTATTAATAGCCATTATTAATAACCATTAATAATAACAATTAATAATAACCATTAATAATAACCATAAATAATAAACCATTAATAATAACCATTACTAACCATTATTAATAACCATTATTAATAACCATTATTAATCACCATTATTAATAACCATTATTAATAGCCATTATTAATAACCATTATTAATAGCCATTATTAATAACCATTAATAATAACCATTATTAATAACCATTAATAATAACCATTATTAATAACCATTAATAATAACCATTGATATTATAACCATTACTAATAACCATTAATAATAACCATTACTAATAACCATTATTAATAACCATCAATAATAACCATTAATAATAACCATTAATAACCATTAATAATAACCATTATTAACCATTAATAATAACCATCAATAATAACCATTAATAATAACCATTACTAACCATTAATAATAACCATCAATAATAACCCTTAATAATAACCATTAATGATAACCATTTATAATAACCATTATTAATAACCATTATTAATAGCCATTATTAATAACCATTAATAATAACCATTATTAATAACCATTAATAATAACCATTAATATTTTAACCATTAATAATAACCATTAATGATAACCATTATTAATAACCATTGATATTATAACCATTACTAATGACCATTAATAATAACCATTACTAATAACCATTATTAATAACCATCAATAATAACCATTAATAATAACCATTAATAACCATTAATAATAACCATCAATAATAACCATTAATAATAACCATCAATAATAACCCTTAATAATAACCATTAATGATAACCATTTATAATAACCATTAATAATTTAACCATTGTTAATAACAATTTTTAATAGCCATTATTGACAACCATTTTTAATAACCATTATTAATAACCATTATTAATAACCATTAATAATAACCATTATTAATAACCATTTTTAATAGCCATTAATAATAACCATTATTAATAACCGTTATTAATAGCCATTATTAATAACCATTATTAATAACCATTATAAATAACCATTAATAATAACCATTAATAATAACCATCATTAACCACCATTATTAATAACCATTAACAATAACCATTATTAATAACCATTAATAATAACCATTGATAACAACCATTAATAATAACCATCATTAACCACCATTATTAATAACCATTATTAATAACCATTATTAACAACCAGTATTTATAACCATTATTAATAACCATTATTAATAGCCATTATTAATAACCATTATTAATAACCATTATTAACCATGATGATGTCGTGAAGGTCTGTGATTCCCAGAAGATCATCGACGAATGCTGGCCATGACCATCGTTCCACATCCTTCGACACTGTGGGACGATGTGGAACTCATCATTAACCATCATTAACCATCATTAACCAATAATAATAACATATAGTAACCATTAATAATATCCATTAATAATTTAACCATTAATAATAACCATTAATAATTTAACCATTAATAATTTAACCATTAATAATAACCATTAATAATTTCACCATTAATAATTTAACCATTTATAATTTAACCATTAATAATAACCATTCATAATTTAACCATTAATAATTTAACCATTAATAATTTAACCATCAATAATTTAACCATTAATAATTTAACCATTCATAATAACCATTAATAATTTCACCATTAATAATTTAACCATTAATAATTTAACCATTAATAATAACCATTAATAATTTAACCATTAATGATTTTACCATTTATAATTTAACCATTAATAATTTAACCATTAATAATAACCATTAATAATTTAACCATTGATGATGTCGTGAAGGTCTGTGATTCCCAGAGGATCATCCTGCGACGTGGCTGGCCATGACCAGAACGTTCCACATCCTTCGACACTGTGGGACGATGTGGAACTTCTTGATGTGACACCTTGGGGCCTTGGGGTGGGCTGACCTAAGGATGACCCAGGATGGATGGCTGAAATCCCATTAAGGTCGACCTGCCGCAAGCCACTTCTCCACCCTGGACCAGTGGGACCGTCAACCCAGATGCAAGGATTCAGGCTAAAAGAAATCTGAAGGTTTGTCAATTGATATCAACCTACTTTCAATATCGTTCAATGATTTTTTCTTTTAATCCAAAGCCAAAAAGAAATCTGAAGGTGTGTCAATTGATATCAACCTACTTTCAATATCGTTCAATGATTTTTTCTTTTAATCCAAAACCAAAAAGAAATCTGAAGGTTTGTCAATTGATATCAACCTACTTTCAATATCGTTCAATGATTTTTTTTTAAATCCAAAGCCAAAAAGAAATCTGAAGGTTTGTCAATTGATATCAACCTACTTTCAATATCGTTCAATGATTTTTTCTTTTAATCCAAAACCAAAAAAAAATCTGAAGGTTTGTCAATTGATATCAACCTACTTTCAATATCGTTCAATGATTTTTTCTTTTAATCCAAAACCAAAAAGAAATCTGAAGGTTAGTAAGGATGTCAATTGATATCAACCTACGTTCAATATCGTTCAATGAATTTTCCTTTTAATCCAAAACCAAAAGGAAATCTGAAGGCCTGTCAATTGATATCAACCTACTTTCAATATCGTTCAATGATTTTTTCTTTTAATCCAAAACCAAAAAGAAATCTGAAGGTTAGTAAGGATGTCAATTGATATCAACCTACGTTCAATATTGTTCAATGAATTTTCCATTTAATCCAAAACCAAAAGGAAATCTGAAGGTTTGTCAATTGATATCAACCTACTTTCAATATCGTTCAATGAATTTTTTCTTTTAATCCAAAACCAAAAAGAAATCTGAAGGTTAGTAAGGATGTCAATTGATATCAACCTACGTTCAATATCGTTCAATGAATTTTCCTTTTAATCCAAAACCAAAAGGAAATCTGAAGGTTTGTCAATTGATATCAACCTACTTTCAATATCGTTCAATGATTTTTTCTTTTAATCCAAAACCAAAAAGAAATCTGAAGGTTAGTAAGGATGTCAATTGATATCAACCTACTTTCAATATCGTTCAATGATTTTTTCTTTTAATCCAAAACCAAAAAGAAATCTGAAGGTTAGTAAGGATGTCAATTGATATCAACCTACGTTCAATATCGTTCAACGAATTTTCCTTTTAATCCAAAACCAAAAGGAAATCTGAAGGTTTGTCAATTGATATCAACCTACTTTCAATATCGTTCAATGATTTTTTCTTTTAATCCAAAACCAAAAAGAAATCTGAAGGTTAGTAAGGATGTCAATTGATATCAACCTACGTTCAATATCGTTCAATGAATTTTCCTTTTAATCCAAAACCAAAAGGAAATCTGAAGGTTTGTCAATTGATATCAACCTACTTTCAATATCGTTCAATGATTTTTTCTTTTAATCCAAAACCAAAAAGAAATCTGAAGGTTAGTAAGGATGTCAATTGATATCAACCTACGTTCAATGTCGTTCAATGAATTTTCCTTTTAATCCAAAACCAAAAGGAAATCTGAAGGTTTGTCAATTGATATCAACCTACTTTCAATATCTTTCAATGATTGTTTCATTAAATCCAAAGCCAAAAGGAAATCTGAAGGTTAGTAAGGATGTCAATTGATATCAACCTACGTTCAATAGTCAATAGATGTTCTTTTTAAACCTAGAAGAAAACCTCGAACAAAAAAAAAAGGTTGTTCTCTGTGGGGATTGATTATACAATCTGGTGATTACCCCCCGTTGATTAATCAAGGGGAACCAACCCATGTTAGTATTGCCCGAACATGTTTCCTGTTGGGGGGTTGATTAATCCCTAGAAATTTTATATCATTTTATGATCACAACTATACATTATTCAAAATTAGCATGACTAGGAACATCTAGGAATCTAGGAACCAAAGATCTGTATCCCAGGTTTGGGCATGAACTATGAACATGGCAATCCCTGCGGTGCATCCTGGTTAACACATCGGTGTTGATCTCCCCAGTTGCTGGTTATCGTTACCCATTAACTGGTTCAATATGTGACCCGTAAATCCAATATGTGACCGAGTCACCGACCTATTGAAAAATGAACTTAGCTATGAAACTGGCGACCCAGCTTGTAGATTCTTAGTTATTCGGGAAATTCCAAAGCTACCCTCTGGTAAACGTTTACATGGAAAATCGCCATGCTATTAATGGGACGACTCACTGTTTCGACTGGGCCATTTTCAATAGCTATTTTGACATAACTAGAGGGTAAACCTCCATTTTCCTATGGTTTTCCTATGGTTTTCCTATGGTTTTCCTATGGTTTTCCTATGGTTTTCCTATGGTTTTCCTATGGATCCCATGGTTTTGACATCACCAGAGGGTAACTTGCGAAATGGCCACCGCCAGCTAGCCAGGCTTGGATGAGATGCACGCCAAGAAGTTGAGGTTCAATCTCATGGGGAACATGAAAAAAACAGCCGGTAGCCGGTAAGGCCATAAGGTTTTTGATATGGGTTTGTCTGAAAATAGGGTATATTCCCAATTATAGCCATTTAATATAGGGATAATGATCGTTAACCATTGGGTTTAGGGGTACACTATTTTCAGACACACCCAAGGTTAATAACCATTAAAAACGGGGCTAGTCATCCAATGGTTCAGGATGGGATTTATAATAACCATTATTTTTGGATCCTTATTATGGATGGGATGACCATCAACCATATAGTGAGTATTGACCATGGCTCATATGATTTCATTGGATATTAATGGGATGTATATGATTCCATAACTAGGATTTCCACTTTGTTTTTGTTTCGCTAGGATTTCATCCATCCACTATATATTCAATGGGAGATCTTCAGGATCCAATTGATGGAGGTACGTTAGTACCATATGTTTGGCCATATTTTGTGGGGATATTCACTGAAACTAAGGCCTAAAAAATAGGCCTTATATATGGTAGGTACCTCCAATTTAGGTTCCTGAGATGGCCAGTGATATGATTTCATGGGGTATTAATGGGATGTATATGATGTATAGATATCATCCCATTATATAGTATCATATGAATTTAAATTATTCTGATTGGTGGTGACTGGCACCATGGCATTTTATGACTTTCCATTCAGTTGGGAATGGAATAATCATCCCAACTGACTTTCACTCCATGATTTTTCAGAGGGGTAGGCGAAAAACCACCAACCAGAAACATGATTTAATGGGATTTAATGGAGTTGAATAGTGAATATAGTGATATGATGTTATAATAGTGATATGGGTTTGAATATCTGATTGGGATATTAATGGGATATATTAATGGGATGTATATGATGATGTCATCCCATTAGTATCATATGAATTTAAATGATATGATGTTATATAACCTCTGGTATCATCAAACATAGCAAGTGGAAATCCCTCATAATTGATGGTTCTCCCAGCCACAGAAGCCAGCGTTTTCTTCGAGGATTTTTCAGCCACGTTTTTGAGGATATCGGTTATGGGAATTTTGAACTATGGACTTTGGATCCTATTTTCAGAGAACATGTCTCAAGATGTCTCAAGATGCTGAAAAAACTTACCCTCTGGTAAACAAGCATAGCTATTGAACATGGCCATTTATAGTGGATTTACCCATTAAAAATTGTGATTTTCCATAGTTATGTTATATAGTTTACCAGAGGGTACTTTTATTATGTATCAACTTATAGACATGCACTTCCAGATGTTCCATCGAAATCAAATTAGAAACCAACAGTTAATACAGTTTTCAGCTGTTTTCCGATTTTCCTTGAACCATGCCAGCGATTGATGAGCACAGTACTAGGACAATCAACCATATGACGACCGCGTTCAACTTAGAATTATGGTGAAAATCACATAAAATCACACCATTTTTTATGGTTGCCTAGATCCCAATTCTGTTGCTTAAAGTCGAAAGCCCGCATTTTGTACGTATCAACCAGTCAGTCATTATAGACTTGAAACTCTTCAAACGTCCGTTTTCTGTTGCTTAAAATCCCATACTTTCTTGTTCAACCATAGTGCAACCACTAGTTACATACTTCAACGGCTTTAAAATGCTTTGAATAGTTTTTAACATCAATTTCCGATTGATGAAACCATATTAAACCCCATATTAAACGACATTAAATCACATGTTTCCATAGTAGTTGTTTCCATCTTTTTCCAATTCCACGTGTTTTACCCGTTTTACCCCTTTTCTGGCGCCTCTTTCCGCCAGGCCCCTCCTGCGCCCCGAGCGTCACATGACCCACGGGCGCCGGGTGAGCGAGACAGCAATGATCTTGGCGGAGGACGGGAAACACGACGAACACGAGCCGCGTGGAGGATCTGCCAATCTGCCGGAGAAAGTCACTGGTTACCCGGCCTGGTAAACTAACTTTTAACTATGGAAAATCACCATTCTACTAATGGGTAAATCAACTATTTAATGGGGAATAAACCAGGATATAAGATCATACTGGTTGGTGGTTTGGAACATTTTTATTTTCCCCAATAGTTGGGATGATGATCCTATCTGACTTTCATATTTTTCAAGATCGTTAAAACCACCAACCAGTCATAGTTCACCCATTTCTACAAGGTGGTACACCCCAGTGATGTTCGTTGGCTTATAATCCCCATTAACTAGTTCGATATAACCCCCATTCATCAACCCTAGTTATTGGACTTATTTGCACCAACTTAGCTAACTATGGGGCACCACCTTGTAGATGGGGGTTTCCTAAAATGGGGGTATCGCTAAATCATCCATTTTGGTTTGGGATTTTCCATGATAAACAATCCAGCTATTGGGTACCCCCATGGCCATGGAAAGCCCTGGGATAAGCCACTGAATGGGCACTACAGATCACCAGGGTAAAACCTCTTACGATTCGTGGAGAATTTGGCCACATCCCAGGGTCCCTCAGTGTCTTAAAGTATTATGGCCTTGGTATAGCTGAAAATCTGTAGCCCGCATTGGATCCGAGCCCTGAAAAAAATCTTGTACAGTGCATTCTTTTACAATACTCAAGCTGTATTCGCCCATCAGCATTCCAGCCCACCACATTGAAAGATAAAGGCATGGCACACTGTATCTTCATTACTCTGATTGGTGCAATTATGTTTGCTGTTTGTTTCTGTGTTGCTTGTTTGCATAGAAACGTTTTCAACACCCTTCCCATCAAAAAATCAGTTGTTCTGTTTTTTTTGTCTTTTGAGTTTTATATATCTGGGTAAAGTATAACGACCTCACTGTTCTCTCTCTCTGGAATCATGGCTAATAAGGGAAATCATCCCCGAATGGCCCAACTATACAGGTTCGTGAAATGTTATATTTTACCCATGTATATATATATATATGGTACTAGGGATATATTAATGGATACACCATATTTTCACTAGTATGATTTAGTGAAATATAATAATTTACCCAGATATAGTGAGCCCTACTTGCTTCCTATGTTTTTTTTTACATCTTCACAACACATGTCCTTTATGTTTTGGTTATACCTTGTGTGCATATGTGCTGTGTATATTAATGTTTCATTGTAACCATGTCTCAATAGATATGTGATATGATTTGCATATGTGTACATCATAAATTTTAAATGCTTGAACCTTATTCAAAATATATCTAAGTTTCTTCGGGGTGCACATCGTCATTTTGGCTGTTTATTCCAATTCTGGTTGAGTTTATTTACCTTCCACATCATGAAATAGAAAAACATGGATTCTTGGCGTTTCATTTCTATGTGTTTTGGCTTGCAATGGTTAGCATCCCATTTGCTAGGGCGTTTGTTTTACCATGTTCCCCAGTGTTTGTTTCCCCCTCTTTAGAACATGTGAGCGCAGCCTCACATGCGGCGAACCACTGCTTGCTGCAGGAACAAAACGCAAGCATGATTGTAACTCGGAAAATTGTGACACTAATTATGAACTGATGTCTTGTACCGTGGTAAGCCCAATGCCATAGTCATAATCCCAGCAACCAAAGAATAATCAGGGGTCATTATACGTGCATGGTACATCATGCCATCACTAAGGGAGGGCAGGGTACATTGTTTGCACCCGGATGAAGGTTTACCATTGGGCTGTTGATCCTTCTGGGGACACAATTTCAGTAGCAACCAGTCATTATTCAACCTGCACTAGACTTTTTGGAACCCTATTCGTTGCAAATGGTGTGCTTGGCACGTGTTTCGCATTCACATTCGGGCATGCGTTTTTTTTATTTCATTAATCTTCATTAGGTTTTTATTTGTATTGACTGTTGAATCAATTTGATTCATATAGACACCCAAACTGCAAGTCTTCCACTTGGATTTTGCAAAGGAGACGTTTCCCACTAGAACCGGGACCATCGCACCTAACATGTTCCATGTTTTTTCCCTGTCATTGGCTGCCTTTCGATATTGGTCATGAAACCAGTTTCTGAAGAGGTAATACTGCGATCAATGGGGGGGCCTGATTCAAGAAAACGTACGTTCACCAGAATCCAATGTTCAAATCACTTCAGTGGCCCAAACCGTTAAACCACTGGTTGATGGTTGCATCGGGATCATGATGGATCATGTATATACAACAATCACATATACGAGTTAACTATCACAACATGTTTTCTTCACAAAACATAAACATCGATCCACAACTGAAATTCTCGAACTGAAAGTAACCACATGCGGCACATGGTCCGGGTGAAACATCCGATTTTGGGATTTCCTGCGGCAGTTCGATAGACTTTTCAAGGTGGTGCCCCCATTTGGAAAGACGCGAAGTTGGTGCAAATAAGTCCAATAACGAGGGTTGATGAATGGGAGTTACCCTCTGGTAAACAAACATATTGCCATTTATAGTGGATTTTCCATGATGTTAGTTTACCAGAGGGTATATCGAACTAGTTAATGGGGTTTACAAGCCAACAAACATCACTGGGGGGTACCGCCTTGTAGAAACTGCCTTCGAGGCCGCCTTAACGCAGCTGGAAGAAGAACGTGCACAAGGAAATTTTCGACGCTTTGGAGAAAAGTCAAGTGGTCAAGAAGGGCTGAACGCCGAAGGCTTTCGATCCTTTTCGTAATTTGACATAGCGAACTGGCAAATCACAAGTTTCAATATGAATCATCTATAAATTGGTCATTTTCCAAAACCATGTTCATCAATTTTCCTTCTGAAGATTGCAGCCCCCCATTTTCGGACAAACCAAGTGTGATCACTGTGATATCCTACTGTTTTTGATATATTTTGATATTAGCTGGTATTTGAGATACCTCTTTGGTGATATCCTATGATATCCTATGATAAAAACAAACATCGGATCGGATATCACCGACCAGGTGGGACAATCCCCCCTGAGACGTCTAAGATGAATTGGTGCAATACTAAACCGAGTTTCAAGGATCAAACTAGCATACCCTCTGGTAATTTAACATAGCTATTGAAAATGACCATTTATAGTGGATTTTCCCATTAAAAATGGTGATTTTCCATATCTATGTTAGTTTACCAGAGGGTAATGAACCTCGCCTTTTTTGGTGTACTTGAACTAATTTTTGCCCCCTTATCGGTTGATACCTTTCTTGTTCACTTTCCATCCCTGAAAGCAGCAAAGCAAGGCCATGTTGGATCGTCCAAATGTGGCCATTTCAGGGACCTAAGTTATAGAGGTACTTAGTATGAGGCCATTTTTTTAGGGCGACATTTCACGGAATATCCCGCCCAAAATATGGCCTTACAAATGGTACCGGTAGTACCTCCAATTTTAGGCTTCTGAAATTTGCCATTGAACCAAGTCCTCGCAAAATTTCCGATTCATGAATCATGGTTTTGTGAAAAGTGGCGATTTCGCTGTCGAAGTTGGGACTTGATGAATGGTTCGATCTTGGGCGGAGGCCTTACGATATGCTTAGTAAAGATAATTTTCATCTTTGGTAAACTGACATGGCTATCGAACATGGCCATGTATAGATGATTTACCGATTAAAGATTGTGAATGTTCATAGTGATGTGAGTTTACTGGAGGGTGTCCCTCAAAATTATGTGACTTGGATTTGCTGAAGGTGATGTTTATTTTCCCAATGTTAAGCCATCATTTCGGGAATCTATGGGGAACATAGTTCTTTACTTTTGATGGTCCCCTTAATCTAAATGTAGTGTTCTAATTATTAAGCTGACAAAGGTGGCTTTGGCAAGCTCCCTGCCCAGGAGATATTCATGATGTCTCTCAACCGCAGCTGCCATTGGAAAGGGATAGGAAAAATCAGGACTTCTTTTGGATGATGAAGTGGTGTTTTGATGAAACAGTGTTACTCCCAATGCGAAAAACACATTTTATGGAGCAAATTTATCACAATGCATCATCCCAAATAAGCCAATTTATGGAGGTTTTTGACATTGGCTTATTTGGGATGATGCAAAATTACACCCATAAAAATGGTTGGTCACTGAGATGGTGTTTCAAAAGGCCAACTGGGCCAACTGGGTTTACCACATTGGTTCCACGATCTCCGAAATGATTGGTTGGTGCTTTGGAACATTTGGATTATCCTCTGGTAATTTAACATAGCCATTGAACATGGCCATTTATAGTGGATTTACCAATTGAAAACGGTGATTTTCCATAGTTATGTTAGTTTACCAGAGGGTATTTTTCCATATTGGGAATAATAATCCCAACTGACGAACTCATATTTTGCAGAGGGGTGGCTCAACCACCAACCAGATGATGTTCCTCAATAGTATCCATGTACTGTATAGTTAATCCATGTTAGTTCATTCGCTTAATAAAAAACATCATGTCGATGATCTCCATGTTGATCTCAATATATCATGACGATCTCATCATGTGCAATCATACATATATACCCTCCGGTGTCATCAAACGTGGCAATGGAAATGTTCCGCCATTTAGTTCGATGCTTTTGTTTTTTCAACGAACTCAATGGGCCATGGCTTCAATAGCAAACGATTAGTTTACTAGAGGGTATATCCCATTAAGTGGATTATAATCCCATTAAATCCTATTAATTAAATCCCATTAAATCCCATTAAATCCCATTAAACCCCATTATAATCCCATTAACTCCTATTATCTCCTATTAAAACGCTCCTATTGAATCCCATTATGATCCCAGTATAATCCCATTATAATCCCATTAAAACCCATTAAACCGTCCATATAGTTTGGGGATTTCCCGGCCACTGGGCTGATGACGATGATCCCCAGATGTCTAACAGCTTATGCTTCATGGGTAAGTCAGTGGTGGTCGAGTATTGACTCCATGTTGCAAAGTATACACTAAACTAAGCGTGAAATCTTTAGGAGTCGTTCAAGAGGTCCTAGGGGTGGCTAAATGTTCCATTTTCTTTGTGATTTTGGATCTCCTTTGGTCATTTGACATATGGAAAATCAACTTGCTTAATAGTAAAATCATCTATAAATGGTCCATTTTCCATAGCACTCTGCCAGTAAAAAAATACCTGAAGTTTTCCCAGAATATTACAGGATGTTGGACATGGCTTATAATTCTCAGCGTGTCAGACTTCTAGGTCAATCGACTGGATGGTAGAAACTAATCCTTTAGTCTTTTGGTATGGGATTATCTACGTTCACCAGCTAAGAATTCGATTTTTTTGCAGGGTATCTAAGATTGGTCATGGAAAAACAACTATGCTATAATGATACTCTATATAGTTTCTGATGATAAACATGACTTCTTTTCTGGATTTGTTTCCGGGATAACATGCCTTTTTCCACCGTGCCCGTGTTGGTTTAAAATGACGGCTCAGTTGTTTCAACAGAAATCCTATACGACTCCGAGGATGCGTAAGTGGCTGAATTCTATGGTTCCTGGTAGATATAACTATTGTGAATAGGGGTTACAATGGTTTATCAACCAACAAACATCACTGGGGGGCCCCATCCTGTATTATGTGACCTAACTTTATTCATCTTTATTCCCTGCCCCACTGCTTGGTTGATCAATAGAGGGAGGGATCGCCCCCAATGAACAGGGTATTTAACTGACACTCCTCAATTTTTTCATACACCAAACCATACAGGGGTTGACCTTTTCAGTATGTGAATGGGGGTCACCCCTATATTACTCACGGAATGTTGGTATAGTAGGGGATAAATGATGGTAAATAAGACTTAGGTTGGTATCTCAGTGTGGTATCTCAGTTTGGTAAATGACAATATGATTATATATTTCTTCCAGATAGATAATGATAAATGGCATACCAGAGCAACTCTATGTTGTCCCCAAAGACATGGTGTTTTTTTCATTCCCTGGCGCCCAGATTGATGATGAAGTGCTGATGCAGTTACAACCAGCCACTGGTCGTTCACGTGCAGCCTGGGTCAAAGGTCGAAGTGGTTTGGGGGAATCATCCCCAAAAGGCCCCAGATTAATTTCATTACCCATAGGATCGATGGTGCTGGTATATATGCCAACATTTGGGGTATATTGATGGTAAATGTTACCATATATATATTATATTATAGTATACATGGATCCTATGGGTTAGACTTTTGAATTATCATCATTTTGAGCCAGAAGAACTTGTTTGGATGGAACATAGTTGGATACTATTCTGGCTATGAACTATTATAACTAATGTATTCTAACAGTGGATTGGCAGATTTTATTCTGCAAAACATCTGACATTGCAATGGTGACTCACGAAAAGGAACGTCAGTGGAAGGAGGTGGTGCCCCATTGGTTAGAGTTTTATGTCGGCTAGGTCATGACCAATAAGACCTCATCTAGATGAAATTATAACCAACATAAAACCATAGTAAGTTGCATCGTCTAGAGTTTTTGTATGTTTTTGTTGGTTATGACTACAGTTAGATTTAGTTAGATGGGTGCTACTAGATCAGTTTGGGTGCCACCTTATGGTCATTTCACTGCCTAAACACGATACACTCCAAATTTTGACATAGACATAGAATGACATAGATATGAACGTGGACCCAATCCCTTGATAGAAACTGGTTAACGATCCTTTTCATCAAAATCAGGTAACCTAATCCTAACGCGTTGTTTCTGCTCAACAAATGCATATTCGAAAATAAATATCCTCAATTATTCATGTTCTGTTTTTTTTTTCTAAGGTTCAATCAACCTTTCTGCATTTGTTTCCTATTGTTTCCTATGGTTTTCCCATGGTTTTCCCATGGTTTTCCAGGACACCTGGAAGTACCGTTGGTATCGATTGCTGATGGGCAAGCGTCACCCAGGCATCGGGTTGGTCACCGGCCTTTTGGGTGTTGTATGGGTTTGAATAGGAATTAATGGGTTTTAAAAGGAGTTAATGGGTTTTAATAGGAGTTAATGGATTTTAATAGGAGTTAATGCGTTTTAATAGGAGTTAACAGGTTTTAATAGGAGTTAATGGGTTTTAATAGGAAGTTGGTTTATAACCGCAATAAACTAGGGTTTATGGTAGTTCTAACTATAGTTTGATTGGGTTATAAACCAACTTATAACTAGGGGGCCCACATTGTAGTAAGTAGGGTATAACCCTGAATATAAATGGGCGAAGTAGGGGCAATGTTCACTTATAACTGGGGTTATAACTCACTTACTGGGATGCACCACCAAGTAGTAGCCTGACCAATTTGATGTTCAAATGAGAAAGAAACCGACTCTGTGGTCAATGGTTTTTACCCTGACATGGGCGATGTTATGCTATGGAATGCTATGGAACTGGAAAATGACGACGGATTTCAAGCGTTTCAAACACTGTTTGCTAGGCCATAGATCCTTTAAAGCCTGGCCAGCTTCAGTTCATTGTTCCAGATGAATCCTCATATGCTACATCCTATGCAATGATCCTACGTGTTTTTTGCCCGTTTAGCCATTTAGTCAATCTGAAGACCTCCCTGCACAGTCGTGTATCAAGGAAGCTGAATAGAGAAAACAGACCAGCTCTGTCACTCAACCACTTATTTTTCCTGACAAATTCCAGAAATGCGGGGACATTTCAGGCATGAAATCAAGTTGGTTATGTTTTGCTAAACTCAATGACAGTTCTTTCCATGTTGTGACCTCCCATGTTCCGGTGGTTTGTGTCTCTACACCTCCAACATCAGGTTTTCACGTTGTTTCCATCTACTGCAAAATCAGTTCGCCAGACATATCATCAGGGAACCCCGTAGTCCACTGATTAATTATCAATATCCCTATATTGAAATGGCCATTTGAGGGTAGACCCTCACTTTCGGACACAACCATAAGAAACGCAGTTTTGAATAGATTTGATATTTCACAATCGGCTCGAACCAAAATCGAAGCCTTAAACATGTGTGTGTTTTTCTTGATCACCAATGATCACTATCTACGCTTTATGGGATAATCATTCCATTGACGAACTAATATTTTTCAAGATGGTTATTGCACCACCAACCAGTGTGTTTTTTTTTTCCATATATTGGTAAGAATGATCCCAACTGACTAATATTTTTCAGAGGGGTGGCTCAGCCACCAACCAGATGATCACTAGCTTCCCTTAATTGGAAGCCTTGCAGGCAATGGAAGGGTTGCCAGATGGCTTCAAGACTTGATTGTCATCAACACGCTTTGGTGTTGCTTCACATCATGCCTTGAGACTTGGCGGATATCGACGACGAACACTTTGCGAACTTGAAACCATGGCCCAGTTGAAATTGCTGACTTGAAAATGGCCATAGAAATAGTTGATTTAGTTGATTTATTCATAAAATATGGTGGATCTTTCCATAGTTATGAGTTAACTAATTTGATTTACCCAGCCTGGTAAACATACAACAAACGATTGGAAGATCATCATCTTTAATAGGTAAATCAACTATAGATGTGCTCCATTTTCAACAGCAAACTGTTAAATTACCAGAGGGTAATCTGCGCCTGGTGATCTGCGCCTGGTGATTTCATATGGGTTTACCCAAAAGGGTGATTTCATATGGGTTTACCCAAAAGGTGCCAGAGGTTGTTGCAGAAAGTGCTTTCTTCTGCAAGGAACATTGGTTTTTGCTCAGAATTGCATCGAAGGATTGGAGAATCTTGGAGCTCTGTTTGAGCTTGCGCCTGGGGCATCCCAGGGATGTCATGCTTCCCATAGACTCAGTGAGGATGGGCCTGGCCAGGGATTCCCCCAGGACGACTCAAAATGGCTACGATGCCGGAGTGGAGCTCCTAGGAATCGTCCCCATTTGATCCATCATTGGACCGTGCATTGAAGCTCAAACTGCCAGTGTTTGGACCTGGAACCTTGAAGCTGCATGCGAAAAAGAAGTTCGCAGTTTCATCCGAAACACCATGTCTCTGGGAGTGCATGCAGGGCATTTCAGGAACTGGGGATTCGTGGTGTTTCCAAATGACAACAACAAGATGGAAGAGGATTCTCTGAGACCAACGGAGAACACCACGATCTTTGAAGCAGACTCCAGTACATTGGCTGATGTGTTGAGAGACATGTATTTCCTTCCTCGGATGCATGCACCTAGTGATGAATCTGGCACAAAACAGGGAAAAATGCTCATTGACCATTGGGTTTAGGGGTACACTATTTTCAGACAAACCCATATGAGTAACCAACAAGATTAGCCGAAGACTACAGTAGTGGGGAGTGGACATGGAATGTTCAAATTTGTGCGAAAACATTCACAACCGATAGGGGACCACCCACTTACTGATACCCTATTTTTGCACATAGCATGGAAGGACAAACCTTCACAACCGATAGGGGACCACCACTTTGGCCATGTCTATTGCGGGTAGTAAACAAGTTTGTTCGCCACTGATATGGTTTCGTGTGCCTTCATTTAAAACATGTTAAACCCCTAGTTTGGATGATAATCCTGACTATATATATAATATCATTCAGATGGGTTGAAACCACCAATGAGTTAATGAGTAGTTGGATTTAATGAGATTTAGAATGGATGTGGCATTATCATGGGTTTGATAAGGGTGTTGATCATGGAATTTATGATGGGATTGAATCGGAACATGGTGGTTAACTATCAACTCAACAGTTGGGCAACGTAAAGTACTGAGCGAGATACAGCGGGATTTATATTTTACTTTTTGATGGGATTTAATAGGCATAGAACCGATGAAATGACGATGGGATTTGTTTGACGCTCATAGGAAATCCATCAAATGGTGGCTGGAAACCGTGATGATTAACCGTTGGATTCTGACCCTATGTTCAGACAAACCTAGATCTGACATGAGTGTAGATCAAACCTGTACTGGTTGGTGGTTTGGACCTTTTTTTTTCCATAAAATTATATAATATATGGGATAATCCTTCCCATTGACTAATATTTTTCAAGATGGTTTTAATCTCTGGCAATATTTACCTATCCCATGTCACGGTATGCAACTGGGAAAAACTTGGTAGGATATTTCGAGACCTGAAGTTCTTTCCATAAATGCAGATAGAAGGGTGTCTAAGATTCGGCAACTATGATCTTTAAACTTTGAATAGTTGATTGCTTGATCAACAACGAGCCTTCAAGCACGGCTTAGCAAACCATTTCGGACGAGGCACTTGTACATTCACCAAATTGACCAATAGATGAGGGGTTCCTAAAATGGTACCCCTAAATCATAACATGTTTTTTTTGGTAAAATACCAAACAGTAGCTATATAAAAGTAGCTCGATGGAGGTGTCCAATCCATGGGGGGACCCCCTAAATCATCCATTTTCATACTGGTTGGTGGTTTGGACCATGGCTTTTATTTTTCCATTCAGTTGGGAAGTTCATCACCCCAACTGACGAAGTTATATGTTTCAGAGGGGTGGCCAAAAACCACCAACCAGATCCAGTAATGTAAGACCATCATTAATATACAATAGTTATCAATAATTACCACCATTCTTGCTACTAGACCAATAACTATCACCATGAATAATACCAACTTTCATAGGTTTTTTGTTCCATGAAATAACATATTTTGGATTAATCATAGAATTCAAATGGTGGTTTCCTAAAATAGGGTTATCCCCAAATCATCCATTTGTAGATGGATTTTCCATGAACTACACCATCCAGCGAGCTTTTTGGGTGACCCGACCCGACCCAGGTGACCCGACCCTTAGGTGAGCCATGAAGAAAGTAGCCTGGTTGGTTGTTGTAACCCATAGATATGGGAATACCATGAGAATATCATGGGGGAAGACCATATAAACGTGATTTATATGATATGAACCAATCGAAATGCCCAACTGTTGATTGGTTATTCAATGGGGATTTCACCATCAACATATGGAATCTCATAAGGAAAATTCATGGAGAATATATTGATAAATGATTCTTGATCGGTTCTGAACTAGGGAGGTTTTTGGTGATGAATTAACCCTGGGGAAACGTATCAACCAACTCCTACAATGAGATGGGAAAAAAATGTGTGTTTTCAATGGCTCAGGTGATGGGCTTTGTCCCCGATTCTTGGGGTGATCGTTTTTTTGTGCACCCAGTCCTCGGATTGAGATTGACATCTTGAAATTCATGAGGATCCAAAAATGGATCCATTATGAGATGGACCAGAAACATCCAGAAACCATACCCTCTGGTAAACGTTTACATAACTATGGAAAATCACCATTTTTCATGGGAAAATCCACTATAAATGGCCATGTTCAATAGCTATGTTAAATTACCAGAGGGTATATTAAATCATTTTTGAAGATCATGGCACATAAATTATTGTGGCTGGTATCCCCATTTAGCACCCGGTATGATCCTCCAAGTCCGCGCTGCTGTACTGATTTGTTGTGGGAATTACATATTTAAACCATGTAAATACGCCATTGCATGGACCTACAATGTTTCTTCTATGTCATTGCATGTTTCATTGCAATGTCAACCATTTGCCATTTGCCACACACACACACACACGCAACAAACAAGAAAACAAGATAAAGAAGTTCTAGGAGACCTGTTCCGGGGTAGGGGGAAGGGGGGGTGGACCCGTCCACAAACAAAAAAGCAGAAAACAAACAGTTTCAGGAGACCTGCTTTGGGGCGTGGGGGTGTCTCTGCATATGCTGTCTAAGCAAAAATGATGTCAATGATCCTCCTCCGCCAATGCACGATTTTTCCCAGAAGTACTATGTAGTCAATGTAGTCTCCTTTTGCCACTGGCTTCACTCAGGAGACGTTGCTGTATATTGCAACTCGTCAAGGTCCCAGCAAATCGCAGGAAGGGAACGCCATTTAAGCCATCCTACCTGGGATGTGTATCCTCTGACTTAATGGCATGATGTTTGATGATGGGGATATAACATGAGTTAACCATCAAAAAATATGGGGATATATGATATATATACACATAGAATTGATAGGTATGATGGTTGATGATGTTTGATGATGTTTGATGATGATACTCTTTGATATTCCATCGGATGAATTGAAACCTGTGGTCCCAGCTGAGATCGCGAGATCGCCTGAGGATAGCTGCGATGACACTACTGATGACCTTGAAACTGGGCAGTTTGAACATCTGTTGACCATCTCCAGCACATGAGCTATGGTCAATACTCATGGTTAATAACCATTAATAGGGGCTAGTCATCCAATGGTTCATAGGGATTTCTAATAACCATTATAAAGATCCTTATTGTGGATGGGATGCCTATCAACCATATAGTGAGTATTGACCATGGACCATGGCTCACATGTTGATCATGCTGGAGAACATGCTGGAGACTACTTTTTCTTTATACTTGTTTGGGCGGGGTTAGAGTGCCCTTACAGTCATGGCTAAAAAAGCCAGTTCTAAATGGTATTCTAACTCCTATAACTAGTTGGTCATATGTTGGTTATATATCAATGAAAGAAGCCAGTTATCACTGCTAAGAGCCATAATTGTAGATTCTTGGATTGCATTTCATCAGAAACTTGGTTTCATGTTGCAAATTTGTAAGAAACTTGAACGGGCTGATGGAAGGCGACTCCGCACTGGACAAGTAAGAGGTTGGTATTTTTGGCATCGGAGAACCAGACTTATCACTTCAAGATGCTTTACAATGTGGGCCCCCCCGCTACGTTATGTTTGTTGGTTTATAAGCCCCTCTATATCAAGTTCCTTCGAACTACCATAAACCCAACAGTTATTGCGTTTATGTTCACCAACTTGGCTATCGAACGGGGGCCCCACATTGTAAGTATGACAGATGACCTAGTTATCTGGGTATGGGTCAATACCTATTAATACCATTTTTAGGGGAATGACCATCCATTTACCAGCTATTTTGATGTTCACCAGGGGGATAGGGTTTTGACCCATCCCCATCTACTTTCTTCCACAACAGGACAAGCAAGGCAACTGGCAATGGCGTTTTCCCGTGGCGTTCGATTGAATCATCTAGCGGAAGAGCGTGCGATTGGATGGTGTCGCGAATCGTAGTATTGATTTGTTGCTGTTTGTTTTGCACTACTACTACAATTCGCTGGTCAATACGAAGTGGATTTTGTACTAATTGATTTAGCGAATTGATTTGTTTTGCAAGCCATTTTTTTCTTTATCTCCAATCTATTCTAAGGTTCCGTCCCTATCAGGGAGGATGATGCAAATGGATGCAAATGGGCTTTTGTCTGTCTTAGAGGACCATCACCATCTCAAATTCAGGGCTGCAAATAATACTATGTGGTGGATTGTCCAATGCTCACGGCCAGTTCTGTGTTTGAATTGTTTTGAATGATTTGTTTCTTACTCTGTCTCAGCCAGTGGCTGCACTTTAAACTTTCTGTCTTTGGTCCAGCGTAGCGCATGTAAATACATCAAAGGAAACATGCCTTGTCATCATTGGGGGTCCTTGAAATCGCATATGAAATCGCCACGAGTCCCTAAATATATGCTTTGGTTCCTCCTAGTTCTTAGATAACATTGACAAATAGTTACAGTAACCCCGTCAAATTGTAGGAAAACACAGGAAATTTGGAGAAATCAGTCCACTAATGGATTGTGACATTCCCATATATATATATACATTATATATATACATTATATATATATATACATTATATATATACATTATATATATATACATTATATATATACATTATATATATACATTATATATACATTATATATACATTATATATATACATTATATATATACATTATATATATATATGTATATTGGTTGGTACATGTTAGTATAAACCCCGAACTAATTTGGTGCTCCACAGTTGTTGCCCTGAAGCATTGCTCAGATTGCTCAGACAACTTCCATTTAAGTGATATAACCACCGACATTTATAAGATCCAGAAGTGCAAACACCAAATCAAAAAAAGGTGATACTTCACCAAACCAAGCCATGGTCATTTTCCCATTTAACTATCATGTATCCCAAATGTTTTTCCTGAAAAGGGGGTACCCCAAATCATCCATTTGTTTTTGAGATTTTCCATTATAAACCATCCATTTTGGGTATCCCCAGTTGTTTCTGTTGGTTTACAAACCCATGAATATGTCATTTCCATGTTTTTCCCCATTTACCCATCGTCATTTTCCCATTGAGCTGTCATTTATCCAAGGATACGGGTCTTGGCTTTGTGCTCCCTGCCGAGCAGTGCCAGTCCTATGGACAATGCTTGGCGGTCTTGGCGGTGTCGCTTGGTCGCAAAAAATGTGGTGTTTGAGTGGAAGAAACGTGCAGTTATGTCCCTTAACAGATGAGAAAGTGATGTCAAAATGATGGGAAATCACCAAATAATGGGATTATAGTTGACTGATTTCATGATAGAACCTTAGTTATAGGAGTGATTTCATCCCATTTATACCTGTTCAGGGCCATAACTGTGTCAACCGGACCACCCCCAATTGCGCCAATGAATCTGGAAAATCGGTACCGCCGCCATGCTATTGGCAGCCAACAGTTCAAGCCCCAGGAGGCCAAGGACATGCCTTGCTCCCCGTCCCTTCTTCCTAGGATGCCTTGAGCTCCTTTTGAATCTTTGTTTTGTTGTAATACTGGAAACTAGTACTAGTTATCATTGTTATTGCTGGGAGTAGTAGCAGCAGTAGTAGTAGTAGTAGTAGGAGGAGTAGTAGTAGTAGTAGTAGCGATAAGACGCTTCATATCTTTGCGGTTGGTTTCGATGCATGATCCTCTCAGCTCCTTTTTCTAGTCTGGCAGGATGCTTTGAGCTTCTTCTGGTTTCTCCTTTTGCTGGAATACTAGTACTAATACATGCGAGCAGCAATTAGTAGCAGTAGCAGTAGATTAAGCAGACAATTATTGCCTAATAGGAACACAGAGCTTGGAGACAGAGGAACACTTATAATATAATTACTGCAATCATGTCATTTGTTGGTAACGGATTTGTGGACAAAGTTCGGTGATGCTTGGTGTTTCGCCATGATTCGTTTTGTTTTTGTTAAATGGTAGAATGCCATTGCTATTTTTGAGATTACCCATTGCGATCACAACAATCGGTTGATGTACTTGGGATTATATTTACCACGTAATTTGGTGCCAACTGCGCATACCAACTCATGCAAACATGTAGGTCTTTCAATAGTACCTGCCAATTGCTACAGTTGACCTTGATATTCATGTGTGTACAAATCGAAATTACGCTAGTGCTTTGGGCAAATGACGTTGTACGTGCATTTTCTCCATCGTTTTGGTATGTACGTATGCATGTTACAGAATGTTGTTTTGCGATTACACAGTCTATACATATACTATTGAAAGTACTTTAGCTTGAGACAACATGTATTGATATATGTCATAATAGGCATTGATAAGCCATGACAAATCTTCTGCTTTTCCTCATGGCATATGGCAAAAACATTTCCCATGTTTTTTCCACAGTTAAAGCCCCTTTGAACGGTTATAACTGGTTCAAACAATTTCAGTGTCGGTGATAATTTTCACCAACTATAGTTGCAGGATGTTTTTTTTCATCTTGTGTTGCATCCCATTTAAGGCCCTCTTAAGGGCCAGAACTGCAAATGCCAAATCTGATGATGCATGTCAATAGGTCAATAGACATTTACATTTTCCATGTTTCCCATTGACCCATGGTCATTTTCCCTCTATAAGGCCCATGTTTGTTTTTTCATTTTCGATTGTCCCATTTACATATTGGTGATAGTGTGTTGTAATGATATCCCATTATCATCCCCAATCAGATGTAATACTAGTTATCAGTGAATCAGTGGTACATTTTTTAGTCTAGATTCTACATTCGCTCACCAAGTATTATCAATAATCCCCACACAATCCAATTTTAACTAAGGTTATGTCATGAAATCAGCCTGTTAAACATGTTATAATCCTATTTGTTTGGCCATTTCCCATGATTTTCCCTTCTGTTACCCTCTGGAAATCTAACACTTTGCTATGGAAAATCATCTTTAATAGGTAAATCAATTATACATATCTATAAATGGGTCATTTTCCATAGCAAACTGTCAAATTACCAGAGGGTAAACTAAGGTTTATATCATGAAAACAGCCAGTTATAAAGGTGTTTTCTTGCCATTGTTTGGTTGATTTCCCATCATTTTTCCCATGAATTTCCCATGATTTTCCCATCATGGTCTTATCATTTCCCATGATTTTCCCATAATTTTCCCATCATGTTCTTATCATTTTCCCATCATTTTCCCATCATTTTCCCATCATTTACCATGGATTTTCCCAATATGTTCCCATCGCCGTAGGCTCTCCATGTTGGGCTTCCTCGCGGAGTTCCTGGCGCGCCTGGCCTCGGCTCCAGAGCCACGGAAGTTGCTACTGCATCCCTCCAGTCACGTGGCACCGGTCCGGAGATGGGACGGGATGAAAATCGCGGGAAAAAAGGGGATTGATATAGTGATTATATGATAATAACATACTATCCCTGTGGATCCAAACACTGTCTGAGAAGGTACAAAAAAGCCTCCAAATTATAGTAAATTATACCCCAGTCCCACTTCCTAAGAAGGTACTTGGATCCATAGGGTATAGTTGTTTTTTTGTTTAAGAACTATCATAAGAGTGGGATTTTTTGTTGGTCCGGATGGGATGATGGGATGATGGGATGACTATATGAGTCATAATGGGATCATATGATCATAATGATTGGGAATTGTTACTAAGATATCTTATATAGTATTTTTTAGAGATATGGATGATATGGATGATAATAGTGGGAGATAGTGATTGCCAACACAAAAAGATAAGATGATGATTGTTAATAACATGTCGTATATAGTGATTTCAGATATATTGATTACAATTAGTGGGATAGAATGGGGTATAGTAGTTCATTTATAATATGATATAGTGATACAACGTGAGATATACTGATATAATGGGATATGACGTGGTATAAAATGATGAAAATGTATATAGAAGAAGACGTATCTAGTGATTGAATATATATATATATTGATTTAATGATGTTTGATATATATATATATATTTAAGATCTATTGATCAATTAATAGTGTGTAACGGGATCTTAAGTATGATTTCACATACAGTGAGAACAACTGTATAGTGATAACATTATAACTCGTGAATCTTTTTAAGTTTACGGATCCAGCATACATCGAACTAGTTAATGGGGCTTATAAACCAACTTATAAATGAGATTTACCCTCTGGTACCCTCTGGTAATCTAACATAGCTATTGAACGTTGCCATTTATAGTGAGCTTTCCCATTAAACATGGTGATTTTCCATAGTTAGATTAGTTTACCAGAGGGTAATTTAATTGAACATTTTGGCGTATAGCCCATTTACTTCGATGATTCACCCTGTTGAACAATGGTGATTTTTTCAAGCAGCCAGTGGTCGTTCATGCCAGCGGGTGAAAGCTCACTGGGATTGTATGGTCTCATTTTTTGGGTTTCATTTTGGGTTTCATTTTTTGAGTATGTTCATCTGGTCTCATTGGGATTGTAACTGGTAAAACCAACAAAATTTGGTGATTGCAACGGATCCAATTGGATATCATTTTTTTGGGGTGAAGGGATTGCATTCCATGTTTGCATATTTTTTAGTCATACTCTACCTCAGTCTGCTCGTATTCAATTTATCTCTTCAGCCACACTCAATCTGACCATCATCCTTGCTGATTGATCGTGGGAATGATACCACCTGAGGCTTTTGAGGGATTTTCGTATTGCCCATCATTACGAACCATTGAGGTGAAAAAAACAAGAATAAGATGAAACAGTTTGATATTCGGACCATTAGATCATAGATTAGATGAACAAGTTTGATAATTGAACCATAGATCATGGAACTCTATATCCGAACCGTATATATATTCGAATGGCAAATGGTTCTGACCACTGCTGATTTGTTTATGTGAAATCTCAAAATGGTCGTGGTGGGCTCAAGTGGTTCTGTTGAGAAGCCTGCCAGAAGCTGTAAAGAACTATATCCTCCACCATAGCAGTGCAGACACCTATGAATCGTATAGAAATGCAGCTATGAGGTGGGAGGAACAGCACAGGTTGTTCAATGACTTCGAGGTGAGTGGAAAGAAGGTGAACGCTCTGGAGAGCAGTTCAAGCGGGAATACAGAGTATTATTCCCTAGAAGAATGGGGCGTCGACACGGTAGCTGAGGGCCGATGTGCAAAGTGCGGTAGCAGAAGGCACGGCACAGGATCCTGCACTGTGGACGTCACTAAAGTGAAATGCTTTCGTTGTGGGAAAGCAGGACATGTCAGTTGCTATTGTCCTACTCGCCCGGAAACTGGAAAAGGAAAGGGCGGTGAGAAAGGAAAATCGGGACTTGTGAAGTCTGGTCGAGTTGAGGCCGAATCGAGTGACTGTTCGAACCATTGCGACGGGTGAACCGACTGGTGAAATATACAGTAGTTTCGTTTTGTATTTCTTTTCTTGCATAAACTAACATATAAATACATTTAAAAAAATATATATATATATATATATACAGATCGAAATGTAAAATTACCTGCAATTAAGTAGGAAAGTACTTTTCTATCTTTTGGGGAGTTGCCAAGATATTTTTGATCTGGTTGCGCTGTTTTTCCCCACCTGCCAGGTTAGGGTTGTTAGATTTTATCAGAGCGCATGCCCGCCGCCTCTTCCTCCTCCTCCTCTTCCTCCTCCTCCTCGACTAGCTGTCCTCCTCGCCCTCCTCCTCGCCTCCGCCTCTTCCACCTCCACTTCCGCCTTGCCAACCTTGCCAACTCGTCGCCAAGCTCTTCGCCAACTTCCCGGCTCAGTGCGCACTGCTGGACCTCAACCTGCGAGCTGCCCAGCTCAGTGTGCACCGCTGGACCTCAACCGAGGACCTGCCCAGCTCAGTCTGCACCGCTGGACCTCAACCGGGGACCTTCCCAGCTCAGTGTGCACCGCTGGACCTCAACCTGGGACCTGCCCAGCTCAGTGTGCACAGCTGGACCTCAACCTGGGACCTGCCCAGCTCAGTGTGCACCGCTGGACCTCAACGGCCAGACAGAATGCCAGAAGATATGCCAGACGGAATGTCAGAAGGTATGCCAGATAGAATGCCAGAAGGTATGCCAGATAGAATGCCAGATAAAATGTCAGATAGAATACCAGAAGATATGCCAGATAGAATGCCAGATGGAATGCCAGAAGATATGCCAGAACATCTGCCAGAAGATATGCCAGGTAGAATGCCAGAAGATATGCCAGATCGAATGTCAGAAAATATGTCAGATAGAATGCCAGAGGATTTGCCAGTAACAAAATGTATAAATGTCATGGTGGGATCACACGAAGTAAAGTATTTTTGTTTAATTGAACTAAAGGAGTGGTGCTCCTGAGGTGTAGCAGATTTGCTGGTTTTGGCCTGCCCCTTGAACGCAGGGGACATGCCACCTGTGGCCTTCTGGTTGGGATTGGGGAAGTCATATCCCATCATGGAACAACTCTTCAGCTTGGTGGATGATTATAATGGGGGTAAAACAGCAATGAACCACCCATTTGGGAATCGTTTATACAACCTATAAAAATGGTGATGACTGGGAGATGCTATTTAAACATCCAACATGGCATTGTTTGACCAACATGAACTTATCCAGATGAAGATACACAACTACCAACTCTTCTTGAAGTGAACACCCCGGGGATTCCAGGGGATTGACCCTTGACATCAACCTGGCTCCAGGAGATCGTTGATTTGGGGTTCCATCAATGGAGGTACCCCCAAAATGGATGGTTTATACTAGAGAATATGCCATTAAAATGGATGATTGGAGCGTACCCCCCTCAGGAAACCTCCATTTAAATGAGATGGTGTTTCATCTCAACACCAAGCGGAATGATAAATCACAAGGTTTGCATTTGAATTGGGATGAGGTTCTGCCATCACTGGATTCTTTTGTTCACACTTTATTTTACTGGTGCTTAGTAGGGAATGGGGGAACGATCCAATCCAGAACAATTACCATCTGGTTATTTAACATAGCCATGGAAATCACCACTTTTAATAGGTAACCCATCTACAAATGGGCCATTTTTCCATGTTTTATGTTAAATAACCAGAGGGCAACAACCAGATTCCCTAAGCTTCAGTAAGTTCTGTTGGCACTCCACACCAATGGCTGGAAACCAGTGCTGAGAAACCCAGTTAGGGCAGGCATCGGCCCAGCGTAAAGGCGCCACGGATCACCAAAATTTGGCAGGTTGCGCTGCTACATTTAGTAACAACCAATAAAAAACCATGGTTCCCGGCTTCAACTTTCCTAAACAAACCAATCCAGTTTTACAGTCCATTTCAAGTTAATTCCATTAAATTATATCCATATCCATTTATATTTCACTAGTGCTGAGCTGGGCAAATACCTTCTAAGCGCCCATTAAATTCACAAGATTAATTGTTTACCTAAAAAAACACCAAAGCTTTATTTCTGGATCCACTAAGCCTGATATATATTTTTCAAAGAGTAAATCCCATTCAAATCCCCATATTTGCTTGTTATATATATATATGTATATCACCATTATATTCCATTTTATCCCCATATATAGGTTTCCTACGCATATTTTTGCTAGACAAACAGTTCCTTGACATGCGGACATGTATATCACAATTGTTGAAACTTGCGCATGGCACATTGAAACTCTGCTGCGGCGCTGCACAGGTTCGCTACCCCTGACAGTGACTTATCTTGCAGGCGGTTTTTCAAGCCATGGCAGCCGGTGAAATACCTCTTGTGGTGCCCCAGTTCGATAGCTCAAATGGTTTCTTAGGCCCTAGGCTCTTTAGGATTTATGACAATTTATGGTAGGTAGACATATCTACATATAGTTAATATGGGACAAAAAACCAACCAATAGCTTCATAGCTAGGGGGTGCCACCTTTTAGATTGATTAATATGTCTGGAATGATGAACGGCCATTTGATGTCTCTGCCGCAAATAAACCAAATCTAAGAAAAACATATACATTTTTTGCTGCGTATTCAGGCTTATCAACAATATATATATACAGTATATATGATTGGTGGTTTAAAACATCTTTTATTTTCCATAATAATGGGATGTCATCCTTCCCATGGACGAACTCCTATTTTTCAAGATGGTTATTGCACCACTAACCAGATGAAGATTGGTGAATATTGCGGACTAAGATCAAAATTTTAAGGTAAAAAATCAATGTACCTTCAGGGGCAAACACATCCGTAGGAACATATATATATACCCTCTGGTTATGTCAAACATAGCTATTGAAAATGGCCCAGTCGAAATAGTGGATTTTCCCATTGATAGCATGTTGATTTTCCATAGCAAACTGTTAGTTTACCAGAGGGTATATACTATGTCCCTTGAAGCTATGTGCAAGATACCTATGACGGGGAATCAGTGGAAACGCATGGCTAAATACCCGGCCTGGTAAACGTATTTACAGTTTGCGAACTTCAAAATGGCCCAAGTCGAAATAGTGAATTCCTCTGGTTATGTCAAAGATAGCTATTGAAAAGGCCATTTAGTCCGTGGATTTTCCCAGTAAAAATGGTGATTTTCCATGGTTATGTGGCTGTTTACCAGAAGGTAGTCAAAGAGTTATATCCGGTATATCCCAGTCTATGCCCGAGATAAGGTTTCAAAGCCTTTCTTGGCACAGCTAAAGCCACCAATCACTTGTTATTGCTGAACAGTATTGTTTATCAATACCATACTTATTTACAGTAAATATATATTTAAATAGCAATACTGTTAACAATTCCATATTTTGTATCTAATTAATACATGGATATCATTCCATATTCCCCTGCTGGCATAGGTGGCTAAATAACTGTTACTTCCTTACCACTGATCCCTGAGGTGATCCAACATTATGGCTTTGTTGGAAGCAGCCCCGCTTTTTATTGTCTGCCCCTTTTTGAAATCACATCAAATCACATGATGTCGAATTATATACTTCTTTGACGGCGTCTACTGGGGTGTTTCAGTGCTTTCCCCAGACATAATCAAAATTGAATGATTTAGGGGCTACCCCAATTTGGGAAACACCCAATCAATGGGAATTTCAGGATCCTAAAATGGAGGTACCTACCATATACAAGGCCTATTTTTTAGGCCTATGTAAGGGAATACCCCCACAATTCATATGGGCATTGACCAAAATAGGGCATAAAAAAGGGCTGACTTTTTTTGGGTCATCCCATGTTGGTCATCCACTGAGTGGAGGGAGATGACTTGGGGACCAGTGGATATCTTCATGGAGTTTCTGACGAGTTCACTAAATCATGAAGATATCTAAGTAGTCCATAGTAGTGAGGCAAAAGTCCATCTATAGTCCATCTATAGTCCATCTAAGTACTTCACCTGTACATCCATAGTCCATCTAGTTGTAGTGAGGTAAAAGCAATCATAAACCGAGCACACTGGGTGTTTTTTGACATTTTCTATGCCCTATTTGGGATGCTTTAATATGACACCAAATGGTTGGCTATTGGGATGGTTCATTATAATCATTGCAAGAATTACCCAAACAATTTCATCATTCGCCGTTTATTCCCTTCATCACATTTCTCTTCATTCAAGGTGGTTCCCGCTAGTTCTAAGTTGCTTTATTAACCCAGCTCACTTAGTTTGAATCGCCATAAACCGGAGTTCCCCGAATGAAATTAACCCATTTAGTTAACAGACTGGGGCAAGACTTTGCACAAGAGCAAATTAGTAATTTCGTGTAAGTTCACGATATGTCACAAGCTTAACTACAAGTTATGGATATTATCACTATAGTATACCATAGTTTAAAAACCAATGGGTAATAAACGGTGGTAATAAACCACATGGTTATCGCTACAGTATACTATAATATGTCTAAACCATTGTTTTTCTTGGCAGAATACATAATTCATTAGATTGGCAGGATAAACTATAGTTACACTAGACTATAATGTATGAACATATTATCCATAGTTACTCTACTGTACTATACCATAGTTACTATACTAACCCATAGCTATAAAGTATACCAACTTGTACTATACTGAACTATAGGTATAAACCCCCGTTTGAAAACTATAGTTACAATAAATCTGAACTATAGTTAGACGTCACTATAGTTGTAGCCAGAGTTGCATAGACTATAATAGTTATACTATATTTAGTATATCGCCATCGTTGAAGAAGCTATAGTACTATAGTATAAGTTAGAAATAAGTCACCATACAGTCTACCACCCACCATAGTTTGACAAGATAAATTATATTTATAGTATACCATAAACACCATATATATATAACCATTATAGTTACACTATACCATAGTTACTATAGAAATTCTAGTTATATAATCATACTCAACCATATTAAGTAAACCATAACTAGACTATGGTGACTATGGTCAATATTGTTAATATGGTACAATGTGGGCCCCCATAGTTATATGTGGGTTTATAACCCCATCTAACTATACTTATAAGCACCATAAACCCTAGTTATTGTAGTTATAAACCAACTTAGCTATCGAACGGGGGCCCCACATTGTACGGTATAGTATAGACTATGGTTCATCCACCAACCTTTCGTTTTTTTCGGTGCACCGCCAGGTGTCAAGATCGGCGGAGGCGGCTTGTTTCGTTTCGGCAAGGTCATTCGCCTCTGGCGTCCCTTGGTTTCTTCGCTGGTGCCATATTTAGTGGGGATTTTCCCGGAAACTATATATTGGCCTTATATAAGTGGGATATGTCCCTACCATATTTTGTGGGGATATTTCCTACCATATTATGTTTGTGCCTAAAAAATGGGCCAAACATATATGGCAGGTACCTCCAATAAATGTTCCTGAAATGGCCATTGATGTTGGTTTATGAAAAGGCTAAATTATACTGCTTGGTCGGGATTTCTCGTGCTTGGATTATTTATTCAATGATGTATCTAGATATCCAATATTGGATTATTAGAAATGGGTTCATTTATGAAAAGCCTAAAATGAGCAGTGGCTGCGATCTACCCTTGTTGGTTGATGATAGGGGATCATACTACCCTTCATATATTGGGGATTCTAATAATCCAAGAACGGGAAATCCCTACCAACCAGGATTCAATGGAATGATAGAGGGATTTTGAACACTGCTCAAATGAAGTAATCAATGATGTATCTAGATAGCTAGCAGCTAATCTATAATTGTAAATACATGAAAGCACTATTCTTTGTCGTGAAGTTCAAGGAACGGAGGGAGATGTAGGGAGTGTTGACCTTCATGTTGACCTTCCACGACTCTAGAAATGTTCCCCGTTGACGTGGTTTTGTGGTTGGCCTATGTTGGCCTCTGGATTTGCCAACATGTCAAGATTCTGAAATGTCACCTAAAAAAAATCTTTACAGGGACGAATCACGGAACCAGAACCATGTAGATGTTCATATTCTCTTGCAGCCACTTGGTGGCTCATCCCACTTAGTTAGTGAGTTATAACCCCAATTATAAGTGGATTAACCCTACAAAAATCCCATGTCAATCACTGGGGTTATAACCCACTTACGATTCGTGGGATGAGCCACCAAGCAAACCATATAAGCAGTCATGCTTTGAAGCAACAAACCTACGAGGTTTGTTGGCCTTGGAACGCTTCGTGCCGGCATTCCACGACGTGTTGCAGGTGAGGGTTGGTTGAGAGTTATTGGTGGCAAGGTTTTCTCAAGGAAATGGGCATTTAATATGGTTTAACATGGTTTAACAATGTAAACTGGGGACAAATATGGGTATAGAACGTTATAGAACCAAACAATTGCCAATGATGAACTTCTTGGTGATTTCAATGATTTTTTGTTCGGATATGATTCGCAATGACCAGATTGTTCAAGAGGGTTGAAACCACCAAACTGTTTTTTTGGCATCGATCGGCAAAGGATACAAAGGGAACCAATTAAAAATCACCAGACCGCATCATGTCAACCGTTCTAGAAGTGGTTTTGGGCATTAATTTGCATTAATATGCATTACTATGCATTAATATGCATTAATATGCATTAATATGCATTACTATCCATTAATATGCATTAATATGCATTAATATGCATTAACATGCATTAATATGCATTCGTATGCATTAATATGCATTAATATGCATTGATATTCATTAATATGCATTAATATGCATTAATATGCATTAATATGCATTAATATGCATTAATATGCATTACAGTAATTGTATTTTTGTGAGACATTTACGACATGCATTCGGTGCAATGCATTGTGCATAGCAGGGTCGAGCCAAGTAGCCCTCGCTGTGTTGAAAAAATGAGTCAAGATCCTACTTGGGGGTTGGGGGTGGAAAAGAAGTGTATCATGGTAGCTATGGTAATACCGTAATACCACCATAATTTGGGATATCAGAACCGCGTAGAACCGCTATCTTCAATGACCACGTATGGCCACTTTTTGTGGCCACTTACTAGTGGAACCGCGTGCCACCTGGGTATCTCAGTGGTTCAGTAACCATCCCATTTTGGACGCCCTCTACTTGGCGAAGTTGGTTTATAAGTAGCTTACCCTCTGGTAAACGTTTACATAGCTATTGAACATGGCCATTGAAATAGTGGATTTTGCCCATTGGCAATCGTGATTTTCCCATAGTTGTGTTAGTTTACCAGAGGGTAACTATCGTGTTAGATGGGTTTGTAAAGGCACAAATATGACATAATATAACCACGGGGCACCAGCGTGTACCGATAGATACCGATAGAGAGCTAAATTCTACTACCACGCTCCAACCTGTATCGGCCTGTTCCATTGGGCAAGGTCCAGATTAGATCACCTGTCCACAAGTGTTGATCGTTTGAGAGGCACTAAAGTGATACCACTGTTTATTGATTATTACAGAGGATTATACCACATGGATCCACATGGTTTATTGGGGATTATTGTAATCCACAATTAACGGGATACCCATTAACCAACCAGTATCATGGGATGCGATAGGGGTATTCCTCTTTCTCAAGTTGCAATCAACCTACTCGGTATAGAGATACAGGACCTCTGGAGTCTCTGGATTGACTGAAATGCCGTACTCGACTCGATTTATTTTTCGCCTTGTTGGGGATTAGATGGGTAATATGTAAAACAGTGTAAAACTATGTAAACATCAATGATATCACTAAACTAATTAGATGGGTAAACATCGATTATATCACGAAACTCGTTGACTAATCAACGTTTTTCGGCGGGATCAACAAGCCACCATGACGATCGCCCTCAGGTGATCATCAGCCGGGGCTACCAAGTGCTGCAACCAGGATGCATTCGAAAAGATGAAAAAATAGGCCTGCCATGCTGTCAACCATCTGGATCATCAAGATTTTCATCCACAACATGTTTCTTCAAACATCTGGTTGGTGGTTTGGAATTTTTCATTTTTTCCATATATTGGGAATCATGATCCCATCTGACTAATATTTTTCAGAGGGGTTGAAATTCTTCAAACATCTGGATGAAAGCAGACGCTGCTGCACTTTGCAGCAGGTTTTCTCTTACATGACTACGTGAAATTGGTAGAGTTCCTGAAGCCATTTCCCCGGGATGGATGGTAGCAAGACCCATGAAAGATTGCAAGAACTGATAGTCAACAGGCGTGTAATATATACAGTTATGGAGTTATGGCGGTTTGCGAATTATACATGGTTACAATTGGTTATAACTGGTTGTAAATGGGATTATACATTCCATGACATTCCATACCTGGGGGGTATAAAGTTATAAGTACTTATCACTGATAACTGGTAGAGGGCCAAAATTGTATCCGACACTGAACAAGCCCACTTGCGAGAATCTTGATGAGCATACAGTTTTGGACACAGCCCCCAAAAATCATGACACCCATCGTGCAATGTCAAAATGGCAGGTTTCTGGCTCAAGTAGTGTAAGAATTCAAGAATTTGGGAGCCCAAACCCAATGCTGTTCCTTCTCACTCAACCAAGTTTGGACTGGAATCCCTAATTCAGGATACAGATATCCATATTATATCTACATATCAAGAAGACTAATTCAGCCACAGAAAATTGCTCCCAAGAAAGGATATTTTTTGTCATATCTTTGTTGAATGAGAAACCGGTTTTTGGGGCCCTATCTGATGGCCAAGGCAAGTCTCCTACGTCTTGCTCTGCTTTTGGTTCTGGATGTCCACGTCACTGGGCGAAGTATGGGACTTGGACCACTTGGGCGGCCCTTTTTTAGGGCCTTAAAGATGACATAACTGTTAAGCAGTTAAGCCAGCTATCATGAAATTTTAGCCAGTTGGATAAGTCATGTAAAAAAAACCGATTAGTGTCCTGGGACTCTATTGTGTGTTTTTTTTCAACAATCATTGAGTATCTTGTGAATGGGGGGTGGGCCTCTATTGTGAGAAGTTTTTTCTCAGATCCAATTTTTTCAGGAGGAGCTCTATCCACCTTTATACACCTTTCTTTTGGTAAAGCTGGTCCATTTACTTTAGAAAAGCCGTATCCATGTTAAAACCTTGAACATGCAAGGTTTCTCACATAATTAGATGCCTTATTAAACCCTTATCAAACAACAGCTCCCAAACAATTTTTCAAGGGGGTACCCCATGAGTGACCCAGATTCTCAATAATGTAATTGTTTCGATGGTACCCCATTGTGCACAAAAACTTTTTGGGGTTATTTTTGTCGGGGTTAAAATGGAAAATCAGTTGAAAGTAGATTGATGTCAATTGAAATCCTTACTTCAGTTGACTATCCTAAAAATTGTTGGAGGGGGGGGCAGAAAATGGCGAGTTATTGAGTAGCCTAAATAAAATTGTTGAGGGGGGGGCACACTAATCAGTATCCAACATTAAGTAGACTTATGATTACTAATTGTGTATGTACTGGGTACAACCAACCTTAGCTGATTTCATGGTACATATTTCATGTTACATATCCATTTCATGGTACAGTTATGTACTAATTGCTAATTGAAATAAGCCAGCTATAACTGTTAAGGATTGTTAAGGGCTATAACTGTGGGACTTGGGTGGCTGAACCGTTGACCTGCCGAATTTCGGGAAACGATTTGATGTGATAAAGCCAACCCAGCCACCATTTTTTTCATAGGTGTTTTTCAAAAAATCCTCCTTACATGGTTTATGACCTCATCTAGTAGAAACTATAGAACTACCATAAACCCAACAGTTATTGCGCTTGTGTTCACCAGCTATCGAACAGGGGCCCCACATTGTAGATTTATTATTCAAACTCATTCCGGGAAGATCAGGGTCATGCGCGCTCCAAAAGGGGCAAACATATATGATAGGCCAAGGCAGCATTTGTTTTCGAAGGATATATCTATCTATATATCTTATCTTATCTTATCCTGTCTTGTCTTATCATATCTTATCTTATCTATCTATTTGATCCACTAATCTATCTATCTCCAAGTTCCCACTTTGGACATAAATTGTACGATCCTTTTTCGTCTTCAACTTTTGAAGCTTGTCATAGACTAGCAGAATCCGTTGCACCACGTCGCCCCATGTCTCGCTGAGGTTCAACTGGTACTTCCTTCACAGCGAGTTTCAGGTGAAGAGTGAAGAGCGAAGCTTCGCATTTTGGTACAGCAACTATTGGTCCCTTGGCAGAGTTCGCGGTGATGGTTTGACGTGCTTCGACCAACGAATGAAAAATGATGTGAACGGGATATTCACTGGTGAACCAACAGAAAGGTACAACTGTATCAAACGTTGCAACTTGCAACTATTTGTTTGTCAAGTCAATGAAATTACTTGGGTGAAACCCACCTGATCAAGTTGCCTGCATATGAGCTGTTGGTACAAGAAGCCACCCCCTACATAGTTAATGACAACACCGGATTAATAACCCCCCCTTATAGGTCAACAAGGTCAACAAGGTCAACAAGTTCCAGTCAGGGAGTCAAAAAAACAACCCCCCGAAATAATGTGCCTTTCACTCATCCATGAACTAATGTTGCTGGAATTAGCTTGCAAATAAGCACCGATGGAGCATCGATTCTATGGGAATTAGCTGCTTAGTAGCATCCATGAGGGGATCAATTTTGATAAATGTGTTGGACAGTAACCTCCATGAGGGGTTTGTATTGTTTAAATTAGCTTCACACTAGGATCCATGGGGTATCATGGGGTATCAGTTTAAAAAAAAAAAACAGCTTGGTAATTAGCTGCCATAGTAATTAATCAATGTGCATCCTTCAGGGGGTCAAATTTGATGAACTCAGTTAGTTATAAATTAGTATCCATGAAGGGTTGAACGGCCTGAGTTTGGAGGGAATAGGTGGGAAAGGACCATCAATAAGGCATCAATTTTAGTGAAACCAGCTTGGAATTAGCGTCCATAAAGGGTTAAACAGCATCCATTCTGATGAGATTAGCTGGATATCAGCATCCATGACGGAGTTGTTTTAGCATCCATGAGGGCCCAATTTTTGTGAAAGGGCAATCCATTGCTCTTAATCAGATTTGGCATGAGAAATCCACTAAAATCCATGAAGGTCCCGTGAGCCAACAGGGGTCCTGTGACGCTCTCCATGGGCATTCTGCTCAAAACAGAAGCTCATCAGCTCACACGCAGCTCACCGGCCCACCTCAGCCATTGTTCTGGCATCACTCATCCATCGCTGGCATCAAAATCGAGATCATGGGGACCGGCATATGCTCCAAATGCAGATGGCAGAGCGGATGCCTTGCATGTGATCCCACGGGGCTGGTCGGCTGGAGCCCAGACATTGCCTCCTCTTTCCAAAGCGTAGGTCATCCTGGGCTGCAGCAGGATGTGGTAAGCATGAGAAACATGCGCCAGCAACGAATAAACATGAGATAGGAAAGGGTTAGTAAGTAACCCTGGAAATTGTAACCCTACTTGAAAGTAGAAGAAGCCAACTTGGGGGGTGAAACCCACTATTTAAGGTGGAAAACGCCACCTAATTGATCTTAGTATTGCCCCAAAATCGGGGATGAGCCGGGGTGGGATTGACTTGGGCGGGCTTATTAATCCTAACTTGTCATAAAATTGAACATTGTTGAATGATTAAAAGGAATTTAAAAAGGACAACTTGGACTTTTTAATGGTGGGTAAACCTACCTATCATTCTATCCCATCCGAGTATCTATTATCATAGGGTTGCATTCCGCAACTATATTCTTCTATACAAGATTTCTTTTATAATACCAAAGAAAACGGTAAAAGTAGGTAAGTAGTAAGATCATGGGAAGAGATATGATCAAGTATCCAGTGATATCCAGTAGCCCCAAGCAAAGATAAGCAACATGGGGGTGAAACGCAATTTTTATAGGTACTTGGAGGGTGTAGGTAGATAGGATTGTACTTGGTGGTTCATCCCACTTAGTAAGTAGGTTGTAACCTTAGTTATGAGTGGGCTAAGTTGGGGCAACGTCCACTTATAAGTGGCTAACCCACTTGCTATCCCAGTTACAGTATACTTGTTCGAAGGAAGTTTAGAAGTCAAACTTCCGACGATATGGACAGATGAAAAAGCAGAGGTGGCAAGAGTCAGCAAAGAGAACAGAAGAAGCAAGAAGCTCAGAGAAGAGAAAGAGTCAGAAGAAGATGCAGGTGCGCGAAAAGGTAGGAAAGTCGCGAAACACTGCGTTTTTCAAATGATTTGTGGCTCCAGAGGATCGAAAAGTAGGCTCGCTAAAGCGGCGGGTGCGGAGCCATCTGGCCAGATGAGAGATGCAACATGGCACGCCGTTGTGGCGCGAAGCACATTTGAAAGTGAAAAAGGTAAAAACACCTCATGTTCCTAGCACTTTTGGCAGTTGCAATGTGGAAAGAGTGCACGCCGTTGTGGCGCGAAGCACATGTTGAAGTCAAAATGTACAAAACACATCATGCTCGAAGCACGTTGGGAAGTTGAGATGTGGAAAAAGTGCACGGTGTTGTGGCGTGAAGCACATTTCGAAGTCAAAATGCACGGGGCACCACATGATCGGTCCACTTTTGGACATTGAAGCGTCATTTTGCGTGGCAGGCACAAGTGATTCTGCACTTTGTCGAAGGTGCGCGAAACGTGAAAGTTTTGTAGCATTTCCAGAAACGATGGCAGGCGGGGGACATTTCAAGAGGATCTGCAAAGATGCATTTCGCGTGGCAGGCACAGTACAAGAGACATGTTCATCAGAGATGTTAGGAGGTCAGGGTGCTGATTTCCTGAGAGGGGTTGCATTTTGGCAAGGTGATTTTGCGTGACAGGTGCAACACTTTGTATGAGCTGGCATCACTTTTCGTGGCAGGCGCAGCACTCTAGACAGATGGAGTGGAAAATTGTTTTTGATAGTGTCAACTTGACAATTGAGGAAGTCTCGCAGAATTCCTTCGTTTTTTTGACGTTGTAAAGTTCAAGCATTGAGGAAATCTCGCAGAATTGCGGCGTTTTGATTTTGTCAAGTTCAATACTGAGGAAGTCTCCCAGAATAGCATCGTTTTCAAGGTTGCAGAAAACACTTCACTACACTACGCTACACACGACAACTACAATACAAATAGAAATGCGAATGCAAATGCAAATGTTCAAATGCACATGCAAATGCAAATGCTACACTACACTACAACTACAACTACAACCACAACTATAACTACAACTACAACTACAACTGCGCTACACCACACTACGTCTAGCAGTTGTGGGCGAGTTGACCACTGCAACCGTTGCAACCACTCCAAAAAACACAACTCCAACCACCTTTCGGTCCATCAGTGACTTTGCTCTGCCATCCATGCATCACAACAACTCACCTCTCCTTTAGCGTCCTATCCCTGAAACTTCCGCCACTTGCTTGTGCGGTACTACTGGTGCAAGTACCTGGTGTGAAACGCCAATTTTATGTAATACTAGTTGGTCTATTTAGAAGTGGCGTTATAACCCACTTATAGGTACTTGGATGAACCACCACGTAGACCGCTTAGAAGCTGCTGTGCCCCTGGACCCGCAGGTTTTCGATGCAATTCTCGTACCTGGAGCTGGTCAGGGAGCGGTATCCGGGTATCCACTGTTTGCCTATATCCTTCTTCAATGGGGGTTTCCTAAGTCATGGGGGTACCCCAAAAGGTATGGTTTATAGTATATAGCGGAAAATCCCAAACAAAAACGGATGATAACTGGGGGTACCCCTCGTTTCCGGAAACTTCCAAATGGTGAGAACTGAGGAACTGTTTCGAGTTTCTCAACCAAACGATAGTTGCTTAATTGTGGATAATTGTGGTTCACCAATAGTCAATTGAGCCATTGCACATACCCTTGGGTATGAAATTGTAGTTATACCAACTTGTTTTTTTGGAGATGATTATGTTGTTTGTGAATCCTATCCAGTATTTCACGAGATGGGATAGGGGTATTTTTTTAATGGTTTAGATGATTCTTTGTGGTTAACCATAGTCAATTGATGTGTGTGTCTGAAATAGGGTATAAATGGCCATTTTGATAAACCATGTGTGTTCAGAAATAGTTCTTGGTATACCCCCAAACATGTATTCATCCAGAAAATGAGCATGAACCGTTCGATGTGGGAATTTACATTTTTGGGCAAAACGCATGCAATTCACTTCACTTCGAATTCAATCATTCCCACCTTTTTTTTTCTGGGACCGGTTCATAGGTCATCTGACAGTTAAAATAAACGCACGCCAAATAACCGCAACCTCACAAAATATGTTCCATGTATGCTGAATGCTGCACTTCAAATTACATGACTGCCTGACTCAATAAAACATTGTGTGAATGTGTAATTACAAAGGAAACTATATGTATAAATGTAATATATTGTCTATATATACATAGCCGTACAAGGCGCGACCAAAAACGGGATTAGATTGGTAGGAATACGACAAACATCACCCACATTTTCTGTAGGTATCTTTGAGGTGCAGCTGGGTGTATTAATGCACCGTGGCAATGGCAATAAGTTGGGCTGTGGGGCCGCTAAAACTATGGTTGCATTTCCATACATTTCCACTTATAACCGGAAGTGTACCCCGAATTGTTGGGTTGTAGAATGTTGTAGCCATAAGATAGTGCCTTCCCATTACAAGTTGTACAAAGGATGGCGATGGCACAGGCAATCACCCCAGCCTGCTGGCTGAGGCTCATTCACATGAGTGGGGACTATCCAATGACTGAGTACCCTGTGAAGGTTCGAGTGATGCACATTTGTTTCTCAGATGCAGCGGCACTGTCAGTGGCACATGTTGGCTCCCAACTTCTTGCAAGTAGCAGGTCCACGCATCCAAACCGTTTGTTTTTTGAACCAATCTTTCTGTGCGAACAAACATGATAAGCAGATGAAGTCCATCTTGGTGAAGCGTCAAAGATTGAAACATGGTGTTTGAAGGTTTCAACATTTGAAGGTTTCAAAATGACTCAAACACCTGACATAAAACATCATAAAACCAAATGCTGAAGGTGTTTGAGTCATGGTTTTGTCTTCATGACGGATCGGGGCTGGTTGACTGGATCGGGGGCTCCAAATTTCGCTGCAATCTTCTTGCTTCGCAACCTTCCTTTGTTTTGGTGGAAAGCACCTATGGCAACTATGAATTAATAATCTTAGAACTTGGAATATGGTCCCCCTATACCTATGGTATATAACTATAGTAACTATATAACTGTGGTTATGGCATACTATGGTTGGTTGGTGGTTTGGAACATTTTTTGTTTTCCCATATATTGGGAATAATAATCCCAACTGACTAATATTTTTCAGAGGGGTTGAAACCACCAACCAGATCAAATTTGCTGAACATGATTTTCACAACCATGTGACTTTGCTGTTTTGCAAATTGATTGAACGAAGCACCTATTTTTCAAATCAGTTCCAGCAAGTAAGTGGTTCATAAGTCCCTCACTGGAGTCCTACTATAGAGCCTAACTACGGAATTATTCTATACCATCATTTTCCGATAAGTCGTTCGATAGAATTATAGTATCATGCCGCATGCCTCTGACTTGATGTACCCTCCTTATCCGGAAATATTCCAGGTATCTAATGTAATTGTCTTGTACCGAAGGATTACGTCATATTAATATACATCATAATACATTATACTTACACATATAATCATATATTTGTTTTATGATTCATTCTATATAAAAAACTATCTTTGAATTCCAACCACAAACCGCCATCTCACCTTTCAATCCTCTCAAATCCCAATGTTTGCCAATCCTCTCAAATCACAATGTTTGCTGCATAAATCACCACATGTAAATCAATTTCCCAGTTTTTCCTAGTTCTCTCCCGATGTTTATCTCATGTTTGCTCCTTACTTCACATTTATCATCAGTTCAATAATCCATTTTCCCCTTGATTTCCCAATTTGTCTCCATCTTTCCCACGTTTTTCGTTCCCTGGTTGCGGGTTTTCTTACCACCCGTGGCTGCCACCGTTTCCGGCGCCCGAGTTTCGCTCTTCTCGGCCTGGGCCTTCGTCACGATGCCGGCGGCCATGCTGGCGGCGGCCTTCCACGATGCCCTGGAGAAACGGCGCCTGGTGCAGGCGAAGCGAAGGAAGGAGGTGCCGGGCGGGTCCGGGGTGGCCTCGGCGCTGGGTCCTTTCTACCCTTATAGGATGTTCAAGCCTGTGTTGATATGAGCATTTTTTCGTTTTCATGCTGTTCGAAGCCCAATTTGGCTTCAATGCGACACCAGCAACAACTTCAGTAGTGTTCCAGGGGTAGGTTTGTCTACAGCCATGGCACCAAAGAAAAAAAGAATTCAGGAAAGTTCAGTGCCTCTACCGCCTGGGCGTGTGCAAGTCTCTGACAGGGGGGCATCTTCAAGCCAGGCTTCGGCATTACCGCCTCCACCCCCGGCAGACGTCACGGGTCCAGAGGCTCCTCCCCATAAGAAGCTGAGGAGAGCAAACATGTTGAGGGCCAGGAGGCACAATCAGGCAAATGCTCTTTCATTTTACAAGTCCCCGCCGGATTGGTTCTCCGAGCCACAAGCTGATTTCCAGGTGGCGAAACGCTTTTTTCAATCGCTTCGGAAGAAGGATGTGTGGGGAGCACTGATATATTTGTTTTCAATGCTGTTCAACATTATCTTTGCATGGAAACCAGATGCAAGCTTCGGTCAACGAGCAAAACATCAAACAGCCCCTGCGAGGGCCTTGCATTGGCACCGACAGCTTCGGCTGACAGCTGCCGACATGCACAGACTCGAGGGCATGTTCAAGGATCAAGTCTTTTATGGTGCCATGCAGGCGGCAGAGCAGGCAAACGCAGCTGCAAAAAAAAGTGGGGCCGGAAGGACTGAAGCCTCTGCTGCCAGCTCTGCTGCTGGTTTTTCGGAACCTTCAGAAGCCAGACCCAAACAGACACCCGAATCAAAATGGTTGCCGAAGCTACAGCTCAGCTTCCAGTGCATGCGTTTTCTTTTCGAATGTGGCAGATGGTCTTTACCATTGAATGAAGAGTGGCCCGACGAGATGTATCATTCATGGTGCATTTACATCGAAGATTTCCGTTGTACCCATGCTTGGATTGGTTGGAAGAAGCCGAAATTCCGCTCAGTGGCCTGGGAGCATTTCAAGGCTTTCTACAAAGACGTCAAGATTGAAACCAAGCCTGACAGATCACCAGCTGAGCTGGAGGAGCTGGAAAAGAAGCTGGCTGCGAGCTTAGAAGAGGAAATAATTGAAGCAGCAGCTCCAAGTGAGGTGGCAGAGGCCGCAAAAGAGGATGTCCATGATGAGGAGGTCCATGATGAGGATTTTGAGGCAAAGGCAGCGGAAGGCGCTATGGCAGTGGGATTGCTTCTGGATGCCATGGAAAAGGGGTGGTTGATGAGTGCCCCGTCCAGCCACCAAACAGATGTAGCTCAAATCTTGGACTTGTGCCGGCAATGGCTGCAGAAGGGCTCTGCATTGGGGGATCTGCAAGACATGATGATGCCTGCTCAAATTCGTCAGTTGCCAACGTCGATGCGGGCTTGGACGCTGGTGACGTTTACTGGGATGCAGTTTGTGGAGTCTGAAAATTGGTTGCCGACCTACATCCAGATACTCATATATTAATCAACCGATTTTGGGTAAATGGAGGGAGCGAACCGCTCCGTGCCTCGCAACTTCAATGCACACCTCCATTTAACTAAAAATTGGTTTAGGACACCCCCCAGCGGATTAGATTGCTTGGTTGCTGGATATTATAAGGGTTGGTTGAACCGGTAACCTCCCTATCTAATCCGCGACAATATTTTTTTCTAATCCGCGACAATATTTTTTTCGGGGTTATGATAATTTTTTGGAATTGTAATGACCCCCCAAAGGATGGATTGCCCAATTCAAGGAATGTTGATGCCTGAATTGCCCTATCCATCCAAAACCACAAAAGGGGATAATCACTGACATAAAATCTAAGAGACCTGAGTTTCATGAAAACCTGGGGCCTGAGTTTCATGAAAACCTGGGGCCTGAGTTTCATGAAAATGAAATAGTGAAGTTCTTGCGCAGGATGAAAACCTGGGGTCTGAGTTTCATGAGAAAGGAAAAAAGGAGAACAAAGAAGAAGAAAGGGAACGGAGATAGGGAAAGGAGAAAGGGAAGGGGCAGGAGAAAGGGTCAGGAGAAAGGAGAAAGGAAAAAAGGAGAACAAAGAAGAAAGGGAACGGAGAAAGGGAAAGGAGAAAGGGAAGGGGACAGAAGAAAAGGAAAGGGGAAGGAGAAAGGATCAGGAGAAAGGAGAGAGGAAAAAAGGAGAACAAAGAAGAAAGGGAACGGAGAAAGGGAAAGGAGAAAGGGAAGGGGACAGAAGAAAAGGAAAGGGGAAGGAGAAAGGATCAGGAGAAAGGAGAGAGGAAAAAAAGAGAACAAAGAAGAAAGGGAACGGAGAAAGGGAAAGGAGAAAGGGAAGGGGACAGGAGAAAAGGAAAGGGGCAGGAGAAAGGGTCAGGAGAAAGGAGAAAGGAAAAAAGGAGAACAAAGAAGAAGAAAGGGAAAGGAGAAAGGGAAGGGAACAGGAGAAAAGGAAAGGGGAAGGAGAAAGGGTCAGGAGAAAGGAGAAGGGAAAAAAGGAGAACAAAGAAGAATAAAGGGAACGGAGAAAGGGAAAGGAGAAAGGGAAGGGGACAGAAGAAAAGGAAAGGGGAAGGAGAAAGGATCAGGAGAAAGGAGAGAGGAAAAAAGGAGAACAAAGAAGAAAGGGAACGGAGAAAGGGAAAGGAGAAAGGGAAGGGGACAGAAGAAAAGGAAATGGGAAGGAGAAAGGATCAGGAGAAAGGAGAGAGGAAAAAAGGAGAACAAAGAAGAAAGGGAACGGAGAAAGGGAAAGGAGAAAGGGAAGGGGACAGGAGAAAAGGAAAGGGGAAAGGGAAAGGAGAAGGAGAAAGGGAAGAGAAAAAATCGAGCGCAACCGACTGGGTGAATGTTGCGGAGACTTGGAAACTTTGGACTTAAGAATCCCTGCATAGATGGCGCAACCCTGAAACACATTGGCAACACATTCTGGCATAGATGGCGCGGCCCACAAAAGTAAGGGGAATGGATTTCATGCCCTTTTCAGGTGTCAAAATTCAAAAAGTCGACGCCATCTATACGCGCACTTTGGAAGTGGGCCGAGCCATCTTTCTTGAAAATGGTGTATATTATATATGTATGTATGTATATCGAATTGGCTAATGGAGTTTATAAACCAGATTGGGGTAGAGTAGGACAGTCAAGCTTCCCAGTTTTTTCTGGTGTTCTGATTCAGTATCTCCACAACTTCCACAGCTCTTCAACTGCAAGACCCATCCTCGATGAGTCTGAGCGCAGGTGGTGTGGACATTGCGGCGCTCAGCGGCGGGGAGCGTCGACAGCGCGCCGCAAGAAAAACGGCTGGTTTTCGTAGACCGGGCATTGGGAAACCCAGGGTAAAGAAACCATATGGAAGTAACCCCTCAAGGGATACATATAGATGGTATTTTTCAATTCTGAATATTGAATATTTAAATATGTCTATGTATATGTTAATGTATATACAATTTATATGTATATATAACTTTATGGTGTATAAGTATATATATATATATATTTATTTACAAAATAGCTAATAACATTTTACTATCTCTACTTTTTTGGTGGATACTTGGAGGATAAATGAGGATCGTCCCACTAGGAATTGGTGTTTGATAACGCTGGTGACCCCATCCTAGACACCATTCTAGACCCCCAATTTGGGGTCTATAATGTTATGGCCACTGTACCTAAATTGTAGTAGACGGGAAAACCTGCATCCAGACTACCATTATTTCAAATTGTCTAAGGTAATATGCCTTTCCTGTTTGAGCAGTGGCGAAGATTTCTGGTCCGAGCAACCACAATTGTTTGCCTCGGAGAAAATTCCTTCACAATTGGCGTCCCTTTTGCGCGGACAGACACTGACCAGGATGATTGGGAAAATGTACCAGAGTCGTTCTGCCAAGCTGTCTTGGCCCGCCAACCAATGTGGACTTTATCTATTCGGCGACACAAGGCCGAAGAAGTCTTGCTGGGCACAACCATGTTTCTGTCGCAGACTTGTAGATCCTGGAGGCCTGAAGTGTGTCTCTTTGACCACGAATCTCTACAAGTGGTTGCATACTGGGGAATGGTTGTCTGGTTTTTTTGTCTTTGCCAGGAAGACTGGTAAACGATGGACCATGGACAACTTCTTGCAGAACATGCACTCGAACATGACCACCGTTGATTGGTGCAATATCTTGCAAGATGCTGGCCGGGCCGTGAGCTGAACCCTGACAATATTCCCAAAGCTTTATGGCAATGCCTGGAAGCACTCGACAATGGGCCACCACTGTGCCTTGATACCTCTTTGTGAAAACTTTTGCTGCCGTTTGATTTTCTGACATGTAGTCACGTTTTTCACATATTGCGCGCAAAGATCTTAGAAACGTTTCAGTTTCAAACGGTTGCCCAACTCTGGGCACGACCCCAAGAATGATAACAAACCAGTTTCACAACAATGTAAACGAAAATTTGTTACAAGACTTACCTATCACATCTTGGCCGTAGCAATACGTGTTCAACAGCTTCGACTTCATTATCATCATTTACATCACTGGCGCTAACATAGGAACCGCACCAGGCGGCGGCAGAAGTTTCCAAAAAAACTATAGGAGAGATGTGACAGTGTGATGGACAGAGGACGGACTGATGCACAGACAAAACGGTCCTCATCAACTTGTGTGACTAGCTAACCAACTGAGTGATGAACTGGCTGACTAGCTAGCAGACTGACTAGCTGACTGTCCGACTGCATGTCAAGCTCACTGATTAGCTGACTAACCGACAAAGTAACTAACTGATCAACTGAATGGTTTACTGATTGACTGGAGGACTGACTCCCTTACTCAGCAGCTGAGGAACTAATTGGAGAAACTCGTTGAGTAACTAGCGAACTGACTAAGGAGCCAGCTAGCGAATTAACTAATTACTTAACCAAATAACTAACGAACTAACTACCCACTTAACTGCCTGACTGACTAACTAACTAGCTGATGAACTGCCTAAGTACATAACTAACTAACTATCTAACTGACCAATCGTCCAACCAATGAACTAACCAATTAGCAAACTGACCAACTAGGCAACTAATGAAATCACTAACTAAATAACTT